CCCTCACCGGAAACAGTACCCTGATGGGTGTGGGGGAGGGGAGACAATAACTGATAAAGTCGGACTCTTACTTCTCGATTCTCTTTCTCATTAGTTACATAATTTAGGTGAAAGGAAAATGGTTTCTTATATCCAGAAAGTAGGGCCTTAAAACATTAGCAATATTTCCGTGTAAAACCCATAGTATTCTTTCATTTACTCAGTCTTATGTAGTCAATTTCTGTTCCACATTATTCTGGATCAGCAGCAGGCAGCAAACTCATTAGCTTCTGCATAAGAGTTCTGGAAACCTTGAGAGTCTAGTCACAGTCCTTTTTATAAGTCCAATATAGTTTGTCTTTTTTGTTGAGATATTTTGATCAAACGTTTTTAGCAAATCAGCAAAGTAAAAACTTATTTGCAGATGACAAAACTTTACACGGCCATGATTAACTTATAAAAATAATACTCTTATAGTGAAAGACCTGATAGAAATTAATTATAAGCCCAACGTAAAGGCCAAATAAAATTAGTTAAAAATATTTCTAAATATAATCATTAATCGTATTTTTAAAGAACTTTAGATATAATACATAATAATCTCGAGACAAAATACCATATAGTCAGGATGTATTAAGAATATACCAAGTCTCTAAATACCCCAGTAAAAAAAAGTTTCGTAGGTAAATGATGTGAACTCCTTAACCAAACTATTGGCTTTGATAATGCTAGATTCAAAAAAATAAATTTGTGACCAAGTTAACAATAAAGAGATAATAATAAAATTATGACATACTATTATGTATTTGCTGTCTAATGCCAGGCAAAAACATAAGAGGAAATACTAGCATATAAATTTTAACCCAATGAGAATCAGGCATGTCTATTGATTTTGACAACACTTTTTGTATAATTTATAGCGTGTTAAATAAACCTTTTTAGCACTTTTCCTTTGTAAAATTTTCTGTGGCTTTTCATGAAGTTTCATTAGGAGTTGATTACAGGTTACTGTGAAACAATACTTAAGTTATTTAACCAAAGTTCTTAAAGGTAAAAATCTTAGCTTTTTTTTTCCCCTAAAGCCCTGTGGCTTGGTTTTTTACTCAGGAATCTTATTCTAATGAGAAATCGAACCTTTGTCTTTGAGGCAGATTACACAAAGAATAAATTAACCCTTCATCTTGGAAATCAAAGAATATTTTGTTATTATAACACCAAGAAACTTGATTCTTTGTTTTATATGCTATTTAACATTAAAGCTTGTAAAAATCTCATAAATTATAAATTAAACCATTAAATTTTAGTCAGACAGATAAAACTTTTGACCATATTAAATAAATTTCTTTTTCAATAAATCTCTTAAGCATTGTCTCTGTTGCATACCTCTTACATTGCATTCTTTTAAAATGGCAAAAATGAACACGCTCCTTAGCAGCCTTAAGTATATATGCGTTCTTCCTCTTGTGGCATAAAAAACCAAAGTATGTAAGCTTAAATTATGACATATATCTGTTAACTCAGTTCAATATTAATAAGTTACATAAAATGTCTTAGGAATTATTTTAAGCCTGTATATAATAAAACATAACTGTTGTTGAAAGGAAGTCTGTTTAAATATTCTAATTTTCATTTAACTTTTACTATTTCTCATATTTTTCCCAATCTAATTTTAGCTCTTAAAGATTTTATTAACTGGTTTTGGAAATCACAAAGTCTCTGCTCAGTTGACCAATTCATTGATATGGATATAACCTTAAGTCTCTGACTACTGCTGGAAACATTTTTCCAGGCAATTTTAGGTGTGTCTCATTGTGATTTCTTTTTGACTTCTTAGAGGTCCCCGATAATAGGAAGAACTTGTTCACAGTTCTTTTATGACTAGGATCTACCCAGTTTCTGGTAACTATTGCAAAGCAGCAGTTTTTCTAATCTTTCGTCTCAAAAGGGTCTCCGCCTAGTTGGCAAAAGGTCTTTCAAAGTTTCCCTGGAGCTCAGCTGGGGGCTGAGGAGTCCTATAATCTTGTCCCACCCTCACTCTCTTGACTTATAGAAGACATTTATATATGTTTAAGTTGACCTAGGCATTTTGAAGAGCAAAAGGTAACTAATTTCATTCTTTTTTACTATTTTGGAACTGTTACTTTTACTTTAAGACAAAATTATTCTTTTTTTTTTAAATAAAACATATTTCATATAATATCTAGCTTAGGTCACTTCCTATTCTGGGCCCCCAACCTCCTTGGAGATGTTTTTCTCAGAACTAAAAAAACTGGAACCAAAAATATTCACAAATTTGGTGACAGGTTTTATACAGGTAAGGGTTAATGAGACGACGACACAAGAACACTGGGCTTCACAGGGACAAGTACACATACGCACAAACAGTGAACAAACACAAACCGGAGTGAATCCTTCCATCTCACACCTGGCCAGCCCTACACCAGAAAGCAGCTCTAGCCACTTCAGCCTCTCAGATACTCTCTGAGGGAATCATACACTACACACTGCAGACAAACAAATCCCTGAAAGAGTGAGGGAGGTAATCTCTGCAGCCTCAACCTCTCAGACAGCCTTTTTGGGTGACAAAGGTGATCTTGGCAGCCTCAACCTCGCAGACAATCCCAGGAGCATTCACACACCCTGAAACCAAGACTCTACAGTCACCAGGAGTCCCTTCTTGTGATCCTACTCATGGGGTCGATCAACTGAGGCACCTCCCACCTCAGAAACCAAGGCTCAGGTCCTGCTCTGGAAACCTCATGCCTGCCCTATCCACCCCACCCTGAGTGCAACTGGGAGAGGAGTTGTGCACTCACCTTGGGATCCCTCCTATGCCAGTCTTTCTTTCTTTCACTCACCTCTTTGGGCGCGGTTGGGGACTGGCAGTGCCATGGCAGGCCGAGGGCTGGCTGATGGCCCCTCCCAGAGGTAAATGAAACCTTTTGTGGCTGCTTGTCTGGAAGACTGTCGATCAGCCCCAGGCCCTGCCCCAGGGCCGCTGTGTATCAAGTGGCTGGGTCCCCATACGGGCCACCAAATTAGTTACCTCAAAATGCAAGTCTGAGCCACCTGCAGCAAAAGCCAATACTGAGATAGGTGTGAGGTGAGCAGCAAGAGTTTTTTATTGTATATCGATTTACAGGAGACAGAGAGAAATGAACTCCTCCAAAATCTGCCTCCCCCTCTGGAGGCTGATCAGAGGATTTTATCGGGACAGGGTCAGGGTCCGAAGAATCTGTGGAATGTTATTTCCCCTTTGAGGTGGGCACAATGATGTCGTTCCAGACATGTTGACCTTCTGCGGGTAGTCTTGAAGATCCTTTGTTCAGTTGTGTCACCTTCAGATTTCATCACTCGTTGTTCTACCTCCCAAAGAGGAACTTAGGTTAATTTTTAAACTTCTATAAAATCACGGGAAAACAGGAAGGAAGAGAGAAGAAAAATAAATCAGAATCATAGGAGCATGCAGGAGTGGATAATAAATCAGAATCATAGGAGCATGCAGAAATGAACTATGCAAGCTTTGCATTAACAACAGAACAATATCCAGGATGCTAGGCCTACGTAACAGACAATAAATGTGAAATTCCCACGCAGCCCCTTTCAGTGGGGCCCTGGAATCTGTATCTGTAGCCATCTGGAGAGACTGATGTAGGTGGTCCTTAGATCAAGCTTTGAGATTCACATCAAGTCTATTGTGCTGAAATACATGATCCTGAGATGAATGTGAGACGCCAGACCCTTCCCTGCCACAAGTGACCCAAAAGAAAGTCCATAGGAGTTGGGAGTTGAGCCCTTTATACTGATGTGTGTCCAGCTGATGGCTAGGCCATCTTACCTGGAGATAGCAATGGCCTCCTGAGGGTCCTGCCATCCTTGTAATACTTCATATAATAAAGAGCTGTCCCCAGTTCCTTGCCCTGACCTGTGCAGAGGGAGGGTTAGAATTCATGCATCAGTGACCTCTCCCTAGTTACTGCTCCAGGTTGTTGGTGACAAACCATATTAATTCTCCTGGAACCCAGATTTCAGGGTCCATGGAGTTGGGGTGACCCACCCAGGCTATTTGTCCTTAGGTGTCCTTTTAGACCTTGATCCTTGAAGAAACTGGTTTCCTAAAGTCACTTTTAAGTCAAACCATAGCCTAATAAACAACTTAGTGGAAACCATTTTGCCTTGGGCATTGGGCTCTTTTGAGGAATTATCTATGTACAGTCAGTTTTAAGAAACAGGAACTCCAGGGTCAGACTGGAAGTTGTGCTTTAAGGTGAATTGTTATTATAAAAACACTGTTCTGGCCCTGTTTCCATGACAATGTTGACGGGGTGGAATATAAGAGTCTTTGGAGGTTTTCTCATCTTCAGAACAGTTTTGACTCCCTAGTTGAAACGTTACCCCAATTTGCAAATCATATATTCAAAAAACTTCAATTAATTTCTTTTCTAGGCTTAATACGATTTTTATTTTAACATCACTAAGCCCTCTCATACGATTGTGAGGATGGTGCAGGACCGGGCAGTGTTTTGTTCTGTTGTACATAGGGTCGCTATGAGTCACAACTGACTCGACAGCACCTAACAACAACAACATATCACTTTAAGGAAGATTCCATTACAGTTTTATCCCCATTTTACGGATCAGGAGATGAAGGCATAGAGAGGGGAAATAATATGTCACAGGTCACACAACTAATAAGCAGTGGGGTAAGAATTCTACACAGGCCATCACTGGTGAAGAGGCGCAGAGGGGTCCGATGACTTGTAGTGGTGTCACTGGATCAATAACCAGGGCCTCTCCCTGTCTCAGCCTTTTCCACAGCCTCTGCTGATTCTAGACTGTGTTAGAAGTGACTCTGAAAAGGGGGGGTTTTGATTAATTAACGGCACTGGATAGGAAGCAAGCTGTGGTCCTTAGGGAACTAGGGCACTGTCATGTAAGCTCCTGGCCTGAGTGGTCAGGAAGCTGAGCCGCTCAGAGTTCTGCAGTTACATAGGTGTTAGATGCCTTCCATGGCTCCCAGAATGGGTTGTAAGGCCCCATCCAGCTCTGGTCTCTGTCTGGGCGCTGAGTGCCATGCTGCCCACCCTACGGTATTTTTGATGCTCTTTGCCAGCATGCTGGTGACTTGGCTTGAGGCTACTAAACTCATTGTGAGCTTCCAGTCCCCCTGGAACATCTCCCATCCATTCAGTGTGCAAAGACTGGGTGCGGGCCTCCAGATGGCCGTTGACAAGGTCAACTCAGAGCTGGCTCACCTGGAAAACTTCAGTTGGGAGTTCACTTACACCAGCTCAGGCTGCAGTGCCAAGGAGTCCCTTACTATTTTCATCAACCAGGTCCAGAGAAAACAGATTTCTGCTCTGTTTGGACCAGCATGCCCAGAAGCAGCAGAGGTAGAGTATACAGCCTTTTATAAACTTTGGTGGAGTTTCCATTGGAAGGGGGTGACCTTAAAGATGATGGCACAGATGAAAATAATCTCCTGACAAGGATACATTATTATAAGAATAACTGTGTAGCTCTTGGTACTGTTTCTTAGAGGTGTGATTAGACTACATAATTAGAACAGTTAACATTCTCTTTAAAGAAAGACTTTCAAATCAATAATTGTTAGCTCACATACTCTTTCTCCTTTTGTTGATTGTGTGAACTTGAGGTTGTGTGCAGACTCTTTTTATGATTCACATTAACATTGTCAGCCATATGACTCAGAAAAATTAAAAAGAAAACTAATGCTTGGTTTTAAATAGAAAACTATCATTTGTTTATGGTAGTTTGGTGCATATAATAAATTATGCACCCTTTGGTGCGTATAATAAATTATTCAGTGATGGTGAAAGTAAATGGGAAAAAACAAAACATGACAGATTGCAATAAGCTAGAGCAAGAAAATGAGGGAAATAAATGACTTGTATTTGTTGGCTAATGGGATTCAGTTTGTTGATGTCCTTGCGTACCACACGATCTGAGGGGTGTTGATGGGAAGTCTAAATGGGAAGGAATATCACAGTTCTCATCCTCCAAAATACTGTCAAACTGTCATTAATGTTGGTGCATTGTGGAGTTAAGTTACATTTGAATTTGAATCTTGGTTTCTCCTAGAATTCTCTGTTGGACACATCTATAACTGTCCAAAGCCTACCCATTCTTCAAAGTTAAGCTCCAATGTCATGAAGTCTTTTTTATCCCTCTATCTCTACCCTCCCCATCTCTAATTCCCAAATCAGAAGCAATTTCTTTATTCTCTAAACTACTATATGCCTATTGTCTATAAATCTTGAAGGTATATTTAATTCTAGAGATATTTTTATATGTACTAGCTCCCTTAAATGAAGTTCTTCAAAATTCCTTGTAAATAGTTGGCTCCTAATGAACAATGAATGAGAAATGAACAAGGAATGCATTAAGAAAGAATGCCCAAGAGAGTGAGCAGTGCTTATTTATGAGTGTGGGCTCTGAAACCAGATTGTCTGAGTTTTGATCCTGGCTCTATTATTTACCAGCTACGTGGCCTTAGGCAGGTAACTTACACCATGCCTCCATGTTTTCATTTATAAAATGGGGTAATGATAATACCTACCGCATAGAAATGTTAAGAATTGAGATGATATATGTAAGCTCTTAGTACAGTGCTTGACAAATAGTAAGAGCTCAACAGACACTTATTATTGTGATCCTTGCCCTCTGAGGTCTTGCATCTTCAAATTGTATCCAAACCATTACATCAATATTCCAAAAGATAGAGCCCAGTATGACTCATTGACTCATTGAATTCATGATCTATGCACACACTTTACTATGGGGCGTGAGTGTAGCATAAATTCAATTATGGAAAAACATTTTTTGGTTACTTTCAAGGTTGTCGGTTTGCTGGTCTCTGAATGGAACATCCCCACGTTTGACTTTGTTGGACAAACGGCAAAACTGGAGAACCACTTCTTGTATGACGCCTGTGTGAAACTTGTGTCACCTGTGCAGGAAATTGGTGATGTGTTCCAGAAAAGTCTCCAGTACTTGGGTTGGAAACATATTGGGGTGTTTGGAGGCCACTCCGGGGCTTCCTCTTGGGATGGAGTGGGTGAGCTGTGGAGGGTTGTAGAAAATAAACTCAAATCCCATTTCACCCTCACTGCCCACGTGAGATATACCAACATTGATCCAGCGCTCCTTCAAGAGAATCTTAGAAGTGTGTCATCAGTTGCCAGAGGTGAGTAGGAAAAAGTCTTCTGTTGGTTATGTTTGAAGAGTCAAACAGGAAAAGCAAATTGGAAAAACTAAGAAATCTTGATTTAACTATGGGTGGTAAAAACAGATGGAAATTGTCCAAAATTAATGATAAGCAATTTCCTTCTTCGCTCTACATCACCAAGAGAAAGTTGCTTTTTGTTTAAAGTGAGACTCCAGCTGCTTTAGTGTTATGATGCACAGAATAAGTTCTGGAAGCACCTCCCAGGTGGGCTGGGCCCTGGACTTCAGTAGTTGTTCAGAGCATGGGCTGTGAGCTCCTGGGCAATACCTTAACCTCTCTGTGCTTCAGGTAACTTATCTGTCAAACAGAGACAATCATCCTACCTACCTCATACAAGTATGAGGGCTAAATAAGATCATGCCTGTAAAGCACTGTGTCTAGACATAATACTTTGTCAACATTTATGTTAGCAATTATTTTTGTTGTGGTGCTTATAAGGCTCTACATTCTAGCGTGAATTAGCAACTGACTCCTTTCTGTTCCTTAAATAAACTAAAGTTGGTCCAGTCTTGGGAAGTTTGGACTGTGGATCCCTCAGGTGGAGTGCCTCCTACAGCCCCACTCCACCCCACCCTGTCCTCTTTCCATGAGTATCTTCCTCTCATCTTTCCAGACTCAGCCCAGAGTCGCCTCCTCAGAGAGGCCTTCTCTGACTGCTTGATGCAGAGTAGTTCTCCTTCCCCCGCTGGTATCCCAGCATGCTTGCCCCTCACTTATTAGAATCTTAAGTGATCTCTTTAGTCTGTTTATGTGTATATTGTCCTTCTGACTGTCTGCTGGAATGTCAGCTCCCTGAGGGCAGGGGCCTTTCTGCCTTGCTCACTGCTATATCCTGTGTCTAGCACAGTGCCTGGTACATGTTCAGAGCTCAGATAAACAGATTGTAATTTACCTAATTTAAAAATCAATTGCTACTTCATTTGCATGTCCTTAAAATGAGTGCTGGCGTGTTTGGGTGGAAGATAAGTACCATGGCCTCCTCCTTTTTTGCCTACCTTATCCCAGCTTAGAAAGTCTGAGTGCCCCTGATTCCAAGCCCTCTGCAAACTCCTCCTAATATGTGAACGACGAGTCACAAGCCAGGTCTGTTTTTCTGATTTTTTGGAGTCAATTTAACTAAAGAAACTAGAGCGCAAAAATGCTCTCAAACTTTTTTTGGCTTGTACGCTGGGAAGACTTCAGCTCAGTAGGGCAAAAGCTGCCAGTTTGTATACTGCTGGCTTGCTTCAAGAAGTATACACTCAGGGACTAGTTTAGACATTCCTGTTTCCTAAAGCATGCTCAAGGAGAGAAAAAGCGCACGTCTCATTTAGAGTGGCTTCAGGCTAGACTTAAAAAAAATGTGTGTGTGCGCGTGCACATGTGAGCGTGTGCAGTAGGCTGACTGTTTTCCCTTCCTACAGTCATTATACTGATCTGTGGCTCAGAGGATGCAAATATTATCCTGCTGGCTGCAGAGAGCCTGGGACTGAACACAGGAGAATTTGTCTTCATCATTTTGCAGCCATTTGAGGTGGGTGTTGCTGACCACTCTAGCTCTGGTAATAACAGGTTTGGAGTGCTTGCTACGTGCCAGGATGCATTAGCTCATTGAATATTCTCTATAACCCTGCGACGGAGGTGATCTTGATTCATGTCTTAAGATCAGGGGACTGAGACTGAGCTGAAAGGACTTGCCCAATGTTCTTTGCGCAACTAGTGAGTTATTCTTCCCTTTTGATTTTCTAACTTCAGGCCTTTGAACATTTCATTATAATACTTTATTTTGTCTTCTTGAGCTGCACTTTGAAATCTTTTGTTTAACTCTTTTACTTCATCATTTCTTCTGTTTGCTTTAGCTGTTCTATGTTCAAGAGCAAGTTTTAGAGTCTCTTCTGACATCCATTTTGGTCTTTTCTTTCTTTCCTGTCTTTTAAATGACCTTTTCCTTTCTTCACGAACCAACAAATCTGTCCTGGAAGAAGTACAGCCAGAATGCTCCTTAGAAGTGAGGATGGCGAGATTTCATCTCACGTCCTTTGGATGTGTTGTCAGAAGGAATCAGTCCCTGGAGAAGAACACTACAGTTGGTAAAGTAGAGGGTCAACAAAAAAGAGGAAGACCCTAGATAAGATGGAATGACACAGTGGCTGCAACAATGGGCTCAAACATAGCAACAATTATGAGGATAGTGCAGGACTGGGCAGCATTTCGTACTGTTGTACATGGGGTTGCTATGAGTTGGAACCCACTCCGTGGCACCTAACAACATCATTGCACTTGATATTCCCAACAGCCTTGTGAGACAGATAGTATCAGCATCCCATTTTAAAGATGGAAAAATTGAGGCTTAGATAAGTAAGATACTCTACCCAAGACTTCAGAGCTCCCAAGTGGCATAGCTGGTATTCCAAACCAGTCTGCTAGACTCTGGGGGCTGAGACTTTCACCCCTCACAGTTCTGCCTTATGCAGTGCTTACTGGGTGCCAGGTCTGCTGTGAGAACTTTACATATTAAAACCTCATTTCATGTTCACAATGACCCTATGGGGTAGATACTTTTATCATCCTCATTTTACAGATGAGGAAACTGAGGCTCAGAGAGGTGAAATAGCAGGCCCATGGTCACACAACTAGTAGTATGTTGTTATTGCTGTCAGGTGCAATCAAGTTAGTTCCAACTCATAGCGACCCTATAGGTAGGGATAACATTCCAACCCAGGTGGGCTGGTGTCAGTGTCTGTGCATGTAACCCCCACTAGCAGGCCCTAACTACACTAGCAAGCCATTTAAAAAGGCTGCTTGCATTTAGTTAGGGACACATTGTATAAATTCTCCAGTAGTTTTATCTCTCTAAAGTCAACTTGTTTTATATGATCATAAGAAGCTGAAATGAGACAAAAGGGAGGAAAGGAAGAAGTATACTAATGTTCCAGATTTCTTTTCTTTTTCATTAGGAAGTATATCACTTTGCCAACAGTGTCTGTCTCAGGTTTCTTTGGGCAGTTGCTGGAATTCTAAACATATGCTAAACTTCCCAGAATGCCCTCCCACCTGCCCTTTTCACTGCTGTCTGCCCTCTTTCTCTTCACATTTCTTCTCAGACAGATAAGACTAGGAGACCATGGACCAAGTCTTAGTATTGGCAGATAAACTCTTCTAACCCACTTGTCTCTTTCTCCTCAACTCTTGATCAAACTGATTGGTTTGTAGTGGCAGAGATAATATAGAACTAAGAATATACCACAGAATGTCTATGCAATTGAAATCCATGCCGCTTTAAAAAGAAGAGCATAAATCCACTCTATAGATGTCTTTCCAATATAGGTTAAGGGGGTGGGAAACCAAGCTGCAGAACAGCATTATAGTGTGATACCATTTATATAAAACACACCCACCCACAAGTAGACATGCATCCACTTCCACATGCAGACACACACCCACACCCACATGCAGACACACACCCACACCCACATGCAGACACCCACACCCACATGCAGACACACACACCCACATGCAGACACACACCCATATGCAAACACACCCATACCCACATGCAGACACACACCCACATGCGCACACACCCACACACCCACATGCAGACACACACCGACACCCACACGCAGACACACACCTACACCCACGTGCACACACCCACCCACCCACATGTACACGCACACACACACTCACATGCACACCCACACCCACACGCAGATACACACCCACACCCACATGCAGACACCTACCTCTGTACATGCCTACAACTGTATGGACACCTCAGAGTGGGAAAGGAGACGGAGAGAGGGAATCAGGAAGGGTCTTACTGTCTTTCATATACAGTAAAACCTGCGAAAGCTGGAACCAGTGTAAGGCATAAACCTGTCAAAGAAAGAAAATTTAAATATTTTCCACTAATAGAGAGCAATAGAAAAGTGCACCCTGTCAAAGGTGGAAAACTTGAGAGATCCGGAAAAACATGGCAGTCCTGGCGAGCTCTGGCTCTCACAGGTTTCACTGTATATACATCCAATGAGTGGGTGTTACTTTCATTATAGTAGTGATATAGATAATAATGATAATAACAAAACACATAAGCTGCAAGCAGAATCAAGAATCGACAGTCCTAAATGTTTCATGTTTTTGCCACCTATTCTTAGAAAATAAGCTTTCTGAATCTTAGCTGCTTAGAGCCCCAGATAAGTTTTTTATTTTGTGCTTACTTATTTTTTGGCTTCCTATCCACTGCTTCTATGCTAGCTAGTGACCCTTGTATTGCAGGTCTTTTGAAATCCAAGGATTAGAACGTGGTGGTTCAAATTCAACACTGATATCAAATGCCGTTATGTTTCCCAGGTTATTTCATACAGAAAGTTTACATTTATGTCATTACTTTTTAGGACAGCTTTTGGAAGGAGGTCTTGACAAATCAGAAGGTGACACATTTCCCAAAAGTCTATGAGTCAGTGTTTCTCATCGCCCTCAGTTCCTATGGTGAAAGCCCTGGAAATGCAGGTTTCCAGAAACAAGTCTACCGAAGGCTGAGGAGGCCGCCCTTCAACAGCTCCATCTCCTCAGAGGAGCAGGTCTGACTCGGGGTCTTCCTCCCTCCAGCCTCCCTTTCCTGGAGGATGAGATATTTGTGTTTGGCTTTTGCATTTCTCCCTCTTATTCCCCCTCTTCCCTCACCACCACCCTCCACCTCCACTGCAGACGCACGAGCACTTCCCATTCCTCCACAGCACAAAATAAATAGCACTTTGATGCTCTCTTGGGGGCAGAGGTTACTAGATGAAAGGCCACATGGCCTTCGGATGAGAGATCTGGGCTCCCATCCGAGTTCTGCTATTTACTAACCAGGGGACCTTGGAGTGAATTGCTTAACCTCCCTACACCTCGATCGCTTCGCTGTAGAATGGGACTGATGATGGCATCAACCTCCCCGGCTGTGGGGTTGAGTATCTAATAACTTACTGTACATGAAAATATCAGAGTGGATACTGGTGGGCCATGACAGTGACGCTGCCTAGAACAATCCCAGGACCAGGAACCGGAACAGAGTGTGCAAGCATGTAGAGTAGAGCAGGTCAAGGCAAAGAGATGTGCTGGAGTAGGGAAAAGACAGTTGAGAGAGATGAGCAGCCTGTGGTGATCCAGGTATGTGTGGGGTGATGGGCAGAGTTCCTAGAACCTTCAGAGAATCCCTTCCCAAGGGCCCATCAGCCAGAGCTGAGATACTTCCAGCGTGGGGCCCAAAGGTGATGACAGGCCACTGATGACGGGGGTTCGATGAGGAGTTGGGGATCTGTGGATCCCAAAACACAGGACAAGATGATCAATCATCAAATATCTGGGAAGCTGTTTATTAAGTGTCAGCTCGATTCCAGGTGCTGTGGGGAGAACAGTGCCTGGCACGTAGTAATTACTCATGTTTTGTTGAGTAAACAAACAGAAGAGGATAAATACATATTTAAGGCCTACTATGTGCCAGGTATTGCAATAGGTACTTTACCCAGTGTGCTTCATTTTTCCACCCTTATACTCACCATGACAGCTGGTTTTATCCCCATTTTATACATGAGGGAGCTGAGATTCAGAGAGGTTATGGAACTTAACCCGGGTCTCAGAGCCAGTAAGCAGCGGTAGGGGGTCAGGAGTTGAATCCAGTTTGTCTGGATCCAACGTCTACACTATTTCACATAAGTCATACTGCCTCCCAACTCTGTCCTCAAGAGCTTTCCTGACCTGAAGGATTACAGCGAAATCTAAGTTAATGGCGCAGGCCCTGGCTCACGGCAGCCCTCCCCTACTTGCTGGCTGGAAGAACAGGTGCTATGTTATACCATTAAGAGGATGGAGAGAGATTTCTCCTGACTCAGTGGTGACTGTGACTCAGGGGGCATGGGCCTTCTTAAAGCCCGCATTATGCTTTCCTTCTTGAAGGTGAGCCCTTACTCTGCCTACCTTCACGACGCAGCCCTGCTCTATGCTCAGACCGTGGAGGAGATGATAAATGCCGGGAGAGATTTCCGGGATGGGAGGCAGCTGGTCCACACTCTGAAGGGTTCTGATCAGACTGTACTGCAGGGTAAGTGGCTTTGACTGCTGGGGGCTTGGCTTTCTGACCTCAGGCCTGCTGCCCTGGCCCATGGTGCTTTGAGATGCCAGGCATGTGATTAAAGGCCTCCTTATGACTTGCCTCCCACCGAACTACAGAATTAATCTTTCTCATGGAGACTCTGGTCTTCTATAAGGGGTGATTGAGGTTAAACCTCTCAGCTGCCACAGTCAACTCATTCTTCTCTGCCTAGAGGGCCGCCTTGACCAGGTGGAGAGGCCACTGGGGCACCATGCCTCTCTGGAAAGTCTCCCCACAGCAGCTTTCAAATCGAATCCATCAAGAATAAAACTCAAGACTGTGAGACCTGCCTCCTGGGGTCATGCCCATGATCCTTCCACTCCTGCATTCCCTAATTGGGGGCCTGGGCATGACTTGTGACATAGGAACCTCTAAAGATGGGACCCATGCCCATCTTACTTTCCTCGCAGAGGCGAGTGTAGACTTAGAAGTGAGTTACTTTGACCTCTGTGTGGAAGCTGACCAACTACTTTAGCCTTTCTGCATACAAGTTTTTTTATTTGTAAGACAGAGATAACACCTCCTATCATATAGAATGGAGTCCCTGGGTGGTGCAAACAGTTAATGCCCTTGGCTGTTGACTGAAATGCTTGCAGTGCAAGTCCACCCAGAGGCACCTTGGAAGAAAGGCCTGGTGATCTACTTTCAATCAGCCATTGAAAACCCTATGGAACACAGTTGTACTCTGACACACATGGGGCCACCATGGGTTGGAGTTGGCTCAATGGCAACTGGTATTACCATGTTATGGTTGGGTGCTGTTGAGTGGATTCTAATCCACAGCAATCCTGTGTGACAGAGTAGAACTTCTCCATAAGGTTTTCTTGGCTGTCATTTTTACGGAAGCGTATTGTCAGGTCTTTTTCCTGTGGAGCTGCTAGGTGGTTTCACACCACCGACCTTTCTGTTAGTAGCCGAGTACTTAACTGTTGCACTACCAGGGCTCCTTGGTCTTACCATATATAATAATAAGAACCAGCATTTACTGAGGGCTTACCTTATACCAAGCTGTGTGCCAAGAGCTTAATGTATTCTCTCATTTAATCCTCACACAACTTATTAGGCAAGTAGTATTACTATTCCTATTGTAATATAGGTGAGTAAACTAGGGGTAGAAAGGTTCTGTTCCTTGTCCAAGATCACAATATTATTAGGTGGTGGAGCCAGGATTCCAAATGTGTTGTTGTTGCTGTTTGGCACTGAGTCAATTCCCACTCATAGCGACCCTATAGGATGGAGTAGAACTGCTGTAATCTTTATGGAAGCAGATGTCCAGATCTTTTCTTCTGCAGTGCAGCTGGTGGGTTCGAACTGCAAATCTTTCAGTGAGCAGCTGAGCTGCTTAATCATTGCACAACCAGGGCTCCTCGGATTCAAAATAAGACCTGCCTGTCTCCAGGCTCATGCTCTCCATGGCTGTGTGAAACATATCATGTGCCTGGCACATAGTGGGTGCTCATTATCTTTTCTTTGGCTTATCAGTGGCTTAATAAATCATGTCCTAAAATTTGTCCTATAATTTAAAGAGGACAGTCAAGGCCTGTTGTTTGGAGTTTTTAGAGACTTAGTTCATGTTTACCCTGTCAATATGCTTTGCAAGTGGAAGTATTAAACTGCCTCCCTCCCCTCCCTTCCTTCCATACCCTGAAGCATTTGCTTTAAAAATATGGGGTCATCCTTCCTGCTCTCAGTTTGATCTTCTCTGCCAGATCAATGTATTTCCTCTCTCCTGCCCTTTTAGAAACTCCTAACGCTGGAATAGATGAGGGTGTGAAGGACAGCGAAGCCGTTTAACAGGGTCGGAGTTTCCTCAGATGGCAAGAACCTCAAATGTGGTTGATGGCTATTTGAAGGGAGGGGGAAGGGGTTCTGTTGATCTGAGGCAGCAAGTTGGCGTTCTGAGCTCAAAGTTCACCTTTGCCCTCCTTACCTTGTTCATTCAATCTTCCTTCTTTCCAGGAATTACAGGCCCCGTGTTTGTGGACTCCCGGGGAGAAAGGCACATGGATTACCTGGTCTATGTCTTACGGAAATCCAGAAATGGGTCCACTCTTCTTCCCTTTCTTCATTATGACAGCTATCAGAAAGTGATCAGGTACCGGTGGGATATATATGCGAGCTTCAAACAGTTAACGAGCTTGACCACTAACTGAGAAGTTGGAGGTTCAAGCCCACCCAGGGATGCCGTGGAAGAAAGGCATGGCAATCTACTTCCGAAAAAAATCAGCCATTTAAACCCTATGGAGCACAGTACTACTCTGGCACACATGAGGCTGCCATGAGTTGGAATCAACTGATGGCAACTGGTAGAGAGGTAGAGAGAGATCACATTACAGGAAGATGCCTGGGGGGGGGGGGGGTCCTGCTGGGGCCCGGGGATACTTTTCATCCATTTGGGATCCAGCTCCCAGAATCTGTCATCGAGTTGTCCCCTAGTGCTCAAACTCATCATGACTGATGTTGGGCCTTTAAGGAGGTCTTGCCCTTGATTGTGGGTGAGGCTTGGCCACTTCAGATGATAGTTTAGAACACAGCACCCATAACTGCACCTCCGCTGGGCCTGGGCCTGCTGTAATGCTCCAGCCTGGGCTGGTCCCCATTGGCCTGTTGTCTTGGGGCTTCTTTACCACACAGAGAGGCCCTGGGCCCAGAGGGGGTGATGGAGTACAGTGCCCCTACAGGGCTGGCAGTCAGAGAAACGGATTCACCTAGACAGCCTGATGCCAAACTGGACACATGGACACCAGGACCTGAATGCCATCCTGGGCTCTCCACCCCACAAAAAACCCAAACCCACTGCCCTCCAGCCAATTCCAGTCATGGCAACCCCATGTGTTACAGAGTAGACCTGCTCCGTAGGGTTTTCTGGTCTGTAATCTTTATGGAAGCAGATCTCCAAGCCTTTCCTCTGCAGTGCCACTGGGTGGGTTTGAAACTCCAACCTTTCGGTTAGTAGGTGAACGCAAACAGTTTGTGCCACCTGGAGACCCTGGAAAAAAATCTCTGTTTTTGTTCTTTCAGCTATAAATCAATTAGAAGACAAAAAGAAACCTAAAACTTCATTCAATTTATAATTGCTGCCACTGCCACCACCCCCGATTCCGATCAATTTGAGACTCCCTCTACCTTACTCGTATGGAATTTTAATGTACCAAAATGGGTCAGCCCAGGAAACAAAATAAACCAAAAACCAATTGCTGTGGAGCCAACTTGACTCAGAGCGACCCTATTAGGGCAGAACAGAACTGCCCCATAGGGTTTCCAAGGAGCAGCTGGTGAATTCGAACTGCCGATGTTTTGGTTAGCAGCCGTAGCTCTTAAGCACTGCACCACCAGGGTTCCATAGGAAACAAAATAACCATGGCAAATAGATCCCCAGTATTACAGGAACAGGCATACAGCACAGGCTTTGGTCTGTGAAATGTCAAGATGCTATACAACAAGATTTGTCTATATCAAGCATGCATGAAAATCGCAGCAACACTGGAGAATTGGCATGACCTCTTTTAAATTGGGAGAGACATGCTTTCAATCAAAAGATTGCGTCAGCTATTCTACCCGGCAAGAAGATGTTGCTCTTCTGTGAATTAGATTATCTGAAGGCTGGATTTGGAGAGTTTAGGTGAGACGGAAAAACTGGATGGGTCAGTAAAAGTTTGAATTAAGGACCAAGGTCCACTTTTTTGCAAATGACATGTGTATTTCAGTTGTCCCTGCCACACCTGGGGTAGCGACAACTGGAATAAATTAAGTGGGCTCTGTCTTTTGTTTGTTTTTTTCTAAGACCCATGAGGAATTTCTCCAATATTACTTGGCCCCATGGCTCCCTTCCTGAAGACAGACCTGGCTGTGGATTTTACAATGAGCTCTGTGATACTGAACCTGCTTTTACAGGTAAGTGTGGCCACTTAGAGAAGGTAGCAGGAAGGGCAAGATTTCTCAACAGAAGCACTGTTGACATCTGCGGCTGGATGATTCTTCGTTATGTGTATAGGGGCTGTCCTGTGTATTATAGGATGTTTAGCCGCATCCTGGGTCTCTATTCACCAGATGCCAGTAGCACCCTTCTGGTTGTAAAAACCAAAAATGTGTCCAGACATTGCCAAATGTCCCCCAGGGAGTAAACTCTGCCCCCTTCCTGTTGAGAGCCACTGCTCTAGGGAAACCTGGCTCAGGAACTTCATTTCTAGGGAAGAAGAAAGAATCTGGGCAGGGGAGTGTTGCCAAATGGTTAGGAATCCAGCCCCTGGAATTAGATGGGTCATGCCTGAGAAGGATCCTAAAGAGATCTCATAGTAGATGGCTGATCAAAGGTGGTGATGGCATTAGAAGTCACCATTACTATTATCATCTCTACAATGCAGGTTTCTGTGCAAAGAGAGGGGAGTGCGGCTGCTATGGGAGCCAAGGGGTGGTCAGGGCAGGATTCCTGGGAGAGATGACATCTGAGTGGACGCAGTGTACCTAACCCAGCCCCATGACTGGGCAGCTTAGGAGGCATCTGCTTGGTAGGACGAGGCCAGGGCAAGGATGTGCTACTTTCTTCTGCTGTTAGGCTGACCCAAGTCATTGTATGTCTCTACCTGCCAGGTGCGACTGTTGTGACTCTCATGCTGACAATCCTGATGACTGTTCTAGGTGCTGCTAGCATAGGCCTGATTTTAGGGATGCAGAGGGAAAAACGGCAGAGGCAACATAAAGACATCTGGTGGCAAATCAATTACAAAGACATCACCGTTCTGCCCCAGAACAAGGTGAGGCTACACATGGCCCAGGCACCCACTTTCTTGTTCACTGCTGGATACTTCAGAAGGGACCTTGTCTAGGAGCTTAGGGGAGCAGGAGGCTGGCTCATTATCAGGTGAGCACTTAATGAGGATGGAAATGGTGGTGGTTCAGTGGCCTTCCATGCAGGAGACCCAGGTTTGATTCCTGGCCAATACACCTCATGCATAGCCACCACCTGTCTGTCAGTGGAGGCTTGCATGTTGCTATGATGCTGAACAGGTTTCAGTGGAGCTTCCAGACTCGGACAGACTAGGAAGAAAGGGCTGGTGATCTATTTCCAAAAATCAGCCAATGAAAATCCTATGGCTCTCACCAGTCCAATCTGCAATTGATTATGAAGTTGGCTCAGGACTGGGCAGTATTTCATTCTGTCGTTCATGTGGTTGCCATGAGCCAAGGAAGGACATGGGGGGAGCTGACTCAACAGCCGCTAACAACAACAATTTAATGGAGCGTCTTGATACCTGAGTTCTGGTTCTGCCACTTACTTGCTGAATATCTCTGGGAAAGTCATTTAACTTTTCTTGGTCTCTGAATACATAAATGTTATTGAAGAGTCTCTGAAATCCTCTTCAGCTCTATTACTCTGTGGCTATAAGAACCCACACATCCTCCTCAGATATTAAAGTGTCTCCTGGGGAGAGTTTAGTTTCAAAACCACAGAAACTCCATTAATCCACGGATGACTTGTACATTGAGGCTTATTTGCTCAACAAACACTTGTGGAGTGTCCACTGTAGGCCAAGCCAAGTGCCGGGCACGTGGGTACAACCACAAAGGAGATGGGGACAAGTGCTGAGAACGGTGAGTCCTGCAGGTGGAGTGACTACATGTCTCCCACAAGGAAAGCTTCAGAGAGGAGGTGGCTTTTGGGTAGAGTGGGCTTGCTGGATGGTAAAAAGGAGAGAAGTAACCCAGGATATACCAGGACTTGAGGTGCTCAGGGATTAGAGACTGGGCTGCAAGTTTGGCAGGTACCAAGTCAAGGGGGCTTCCAGATGCTGAGCCCAGGAGACTGAGATCTATTGGTTAATCATTTTTAAATGTTTCTGGGATTTTGGGACTCATTGGGCTGGTTTTGGGGGTGAATGATTATTATTGGGGGTGGGAAGGACTGAGCTCAGAGGATTCTGAGCCTCCTGTTCCCTCACCAGCCAAAGCAATTCTTCTTTGATCTGTCTGGTTTCTACATTAGGGTTCCATGCAAGATTCTCTTTGAAAAATAGGGTTCCTCTGCTTTAAAGACATTCTTTAGTTGTGATTAAGCACTCAACTGCTAACTGAAAGGTTGGCGGTTCAAACTCACCCATTGGCTCCACAGGAGAAAAGACCTGGTGATCTGCTCCCATAAAGATTATAGCCTAGGAAGCCCCTATGGGGCAGCTGTACTCTGCCCTGTAGTGTCACTATGAGTCAGAATTGACTTGATGGCACACAATAACAACAGTTGTAACATGGTTAGGTGTTTATTTAGGAAAATGACAAGGACACACAGGCAGTTAAGTGATGGAGCTGGGACTTGGATCATAACCACTACACTCCACCACCCACGGTGGTCAAGACACCAAGAATGTTGAGTGTAGCAGTTAGGCACTCGCACTTTGGGGTCAGAAAGATCAGGTTTCAAGTTCTGACTCTTTCTTTTATTAACTGTGTGAACTTGGCACTCAGTTTCCCCCTCTATAAAATGTACAGTTCCTTCAATACTTGGCAATACCTCTGAGAGCAGCCACCTTCTGTCCTATTTTATTTACCCCAGAGAGGCATGCCTGTGTCGAGAGAGAACCACAGTAATGCATCTAGAGTGATGATTTCTGGGGACCTCACCTCCTTTGTCAAGAGTCAGCAGGGGGAAGAGCTCTTCTATGCTCCAGTAAGGCTTTACCAGGTACATCTAATGGCAAGATGGCGGCATATGGCGCTTAGGGCGTGTCTCTGTCCTGTTCTCTGCATATCCTTTCTGTGGGGCAGGGCGAGCTGAATAGCCCTTTCATGGGCCAATTATTTTCTGTTTGGAATTTTTTGGTGATGGTTTAGCCATGTTTTTTCACTAATGGAATGGATGCTGAATCACTGTTTGTTGGTAGATTTTATTATTTGAAAAAATGGGGTGCCTATTGCAAGTGGGATGTATTGGTCCCATATTCCACGAAAAACATCACACACTTGGGACATATTGGTTCTGTGGCCCAGGAAGTGCATCACACTTCCTGGCTACACTTGAGCCATAAAATATCTTACCCAACTTTCCAAAAATACACATAAAATACTAAATAAACATTGTACTTGCTACACATAATTGTTATCAGTTTGATTTAGAGGGGGCCGTATCGGTACCACATTCCATGAAGCATATCACACTCGCTGGACTCATCAGTCACATGACCCAGTAAGTGCATCACAAACTGTTTTCACCCCCAAAATAACTCATTTACTTGAATATTTCTGATTGCTGGTAACCGCACCTCCCCAATAACACAAAGGAAATAGTAAACGTACTTGCAAGCCTTATCTCACTGTACAGCAGCCAAAAGACACTAAAGTTTCACACAATCACTACTCTGGGAGGCATCCCCTCATGTGAATGGTTCTCAACACTCACATGTGGTGCAGACCAACTTCCTTGTTTTTTAGGCAGTTGCACCAGTATCTACCACAATGCCAGAATGTACTAAAGTGGCTCAAATGCCTGCTAATAAACCTCCAGGGGAGGAAAATGTAACTGGGACACATATGTCCCAGAGACTGTGAAAGGGATAGGGGGCTATTCTTGGCGCAGTGGTTAAGCTCTCAGCTGCCAACTGAAAGGTCAGCGGTTCAAACTCAATAGCCGCTCTGCAGGAGAAAGACGTGGCAGTCTGCTTCTGTAAGATCACACCCTTGGAAACCCTAGAGGGCAATTCTACTCTGTCTTATAGTATTGCTATGAGTCAGAATCGACTTCATGGCAACAGGTTTGGTTTGGTTTGGTTTCTCCATGCAAAAGCCAAGATGGTCTTGAGACTCCATATCAGTGTTTCTCAAACTTTAATGTGCATGTGAATCACCTGGGGTTCTTGTTAAAATGCAGATTCTGATTCACTAGGTCTGGGTTGGGGCCTGAGATTCTTCACTCTAACAAACTCCCAAGTGATTGCTATACTGTTAGTCATGACTACATTTTGAGTAGCAAGTCTTCTAGACTAGACTCAGCTCTGTCCAATAAATCTTTCTGTGATGATGGAAATGTTCAAATCTGCATTGACCAACAGGGCAGCCACAATCTACTAGTCAAGGAACCCTGGTGGCACAATGGTAAAGCACTCGGTTGCTAACCAAATTGTTTGTGGTTTGAACCCACCCAGTGGCTCTGCGGGAGAATGACCTGGCGATCTGCTCCTGCAAATGTTAAAGCTCAGAAGTTCAAGTCCTTGTTGGGGCAGAGGGAGGGATCATGTAAAGAAAAGAAATCTGTGTTATCTCTTTAAAATTGATGCCCTGGAGAGTAGGGGCAGAAAGCTCCAAGCAAGGGAAGATTTGTTCATTGCTGTATGTGGGGTTTAGCAAAGATTAGGGCCAAATTATTCCCTAGGCAAACTGAACTTATTATTTCTAAATGTTTACTTACTTGAGTTTCCAGACTGAAAAACCTCCTGGGATACTAGCCAATACCATAAGAACACCATTTAGACAAAAGTGTGTATTGTGGTCAAACAGCCTTTAGAGAAGGAAGCCAGCACATCCACCGCATATCACATTCCCTTCCCTCCCCTCCTTCTAACACCATCAGTGGCTTCCCTACCTCTATGGCTTGCACAGTAGTGTTGTCCGAACTCTTTAACAAGGGACTCAAGTCTCTCTATCACCTAGTCCTAACCTGCTTTTAGAACTTCCAAATCCTATGTTCATCGAATTGGTCTTGCCGATCATGATATGTATATTTTACTCTCTGACAATGCCATGACTGCTCCCCCTTATCCCACCCATCTGGAATCTTCTTACGTGTCAAGGTTCAGCTTAAGGATCATCTCTTCCAAGAAGCCTTTATTTTATCCCACAGGGATCCCTTCCTCCTTGGGACTCCCATCACAGTTGTGCGTCCTTTGCGATTAATCTTATACTGCCAAATGGTAGATCTTGGGTTGGTTGAATTTTAATTTGTACTGAGGCTCACCTTTTCTTGTGCACAGATTCTGTCTCTTCTACCAAGCTCTTTCCACATTGTTGTATGTTATGGTGATGATTGATTAAGTGACTCTCTAAAAGCAGACTGCATAGATAATGACAATAAGAGATGCCATTTACTGAAAACTTAGTATGTGCCAGGCATCGAGGTCAGAGTGCTACATTTTAGCTCATTGGCTCCTCATAACAATCCTATGAGATGGATATTATTTTTCACCTGCATTTTACATGTGGGGAAATGGAGGGTTGGAGAAGGCTCTGTAGGTTGTAAGTGGTAGAGCTGGGCTTTGAACCCAGGCATCTGCCTCCAGACTTATACTTAGGACCTAAACTCAATATTGTCTCAGCATAATCATGAACATGATTATATAATAGAAATAGTATAGCCTTGGAGGAAAGAAAAAAAAAAAAACTAAACCAGTTGCTATTGAGTTGATTCTGACTCATGGCAACCCAATGTATCGTCAGAGTAGTACTGTGCTCCATAAAGTTTTCGGTGGCTGATTTTTTGGAAGTAGATCCCCAGGCTTTTCTTTTGAGGCACCTCTGGGTGGACTCAAATCACCACCCTTTTGGTTAGCAGCTGAGCACTTAACCATTTGCACCACCTAGGGACTTCGGTCTTAGAGTCAGAGGCTCTAATTCTGGCTACTGTTTGCTATCTACAAATGTGTGGTTTAGACAAGTTATCTAATCTCCATAATCCCATCCAGAAATGGGCTAATCATACCCACCTTGCAGGGCTGTGCTACCAGTTAAATAATATCTTTTGTATTTAGCACCTAGCACAGTGCCTGTTTTTGGGTGGTGCAAAGAGTTAATATGCTCAGCTGCTAACTGAAAGGTTGGAGGTTCAAGCCCACCCAGAGGTACCTTGGAAGAAAGGCCTGGTGATCTACCTCCAAAAAATCAGCCATTGCAAACCCTATGGAGCACAGTTCTACTCTGACAAATGTGTGGTTGCCATAAGTCACAACCGACTGGATGGCAATGGGTAGCACAGTGCCTGGATGTGGCACGGTGCCACCATAGGTATTGGTTTGGGCAGTGAGGAGCTCAATGAGCCCTCTCACTGGTGGGCTTCTTGCCAGCCTTCCTGCTCCCCTTCCTAGCCCTTTCTGGGTGAAGCTTTGTCTGCTTTGTGTCTTGTTCCAGGGAAACCATGTGGCCATCCGCTATGTTGGTGAGCAAGCTGAAGCCTGGATTAGGAAGCCATCTGTACTGCAGGAAATTCAGCTGGTGAGGCCCTGCCCTGGGGGAGGGGACCAAGCAGCATTGCCCTGTGCTCCTGACTGCCCCACCTGCCACCTGCTGTTCCCACCTGTGAGGAGTGTCTCCCACCCCGAAGGAGTAAGGGTGGGAGCTATGTCCTTAATGTGGTGCTGACCCTGCCCCTTCCCATTGATGGCCCAGGTTTTGGACCTCAGATTCTTTGTCATCTGAAGCCTGGGATCCTTCCCAGCCTTGCTTTTCCTCCATGAATCCCTCCTGGCCTTAATCTTTGTTCTTAATCCTCTGTTTGTGGTGGCTGCTCACCTGCCTTGAATCTGGTCCTTGGAGAGAGTCAAGTTCATGGGTCTGACTTCTTGCTCCGTATCTATGATCTGTCATGGCCCACATGCTGGCATTGACAGCCATAAATACCAGGAAGCAAGGCTGGGTCTACCCTTGGTGATGTGGTGTAGTCAATACCGATGACTAAGTTTAGACTTTGGTTGTCCTCTGGTTTATTTGCCGGATGTCAATCACCTGGGTTTACATCCCAGCTCTGTCACTTATAAGTTGTATGCTTTGAGATAAGTTACTTTACCTCTTTGAGCATCACTTTCCCCATCTGTAAAATGGGAGCAAGAATAGTGTTTATCTCACAGAGTCTTTGTGAGAGTTAAATGAGAGAGAGGATGCAAAACACATAGTATAGTCCCTGGCATGAAAGATGCACTATATAAACCTGAGCTATTATTACCAGTATTATTTTCAAATGTGTGAATTAAGGCAGGACAACATTGTTCCTTTCTTTGGTATTTGCATGGACCCACCCAATATCTGCATTGCCACCCAGTATTGCAGAAAAGGAAGTCTGAAGGTAAGCAAAATAGTAAATCTTACCTCAGGTGTGATTAGCACCAATTAATAAGGAACCTTATCAGCACTTTCTCCCACTGCTCCAGAGATAGTTCTTCTCTGGTCCCATTGTAAGACCTGAACTATCATGTTGGATTGCCTGCAGGGGATCAGATTAGCAGCTGTGTTGCCAAGTGCCTGGTTTCCTTTGTCCTGGGTGGAAACAGAGCTTCGTTTTGTCTCCTAAGATGTCACGGCTACTCTTGAATTATGACCCTGGGCCCATCCTACACATGGTATGTGACAATCAGCTTTATGTCAGGAACAAGAAAGTGTTTATAAAACTCAAGACTGTATTTTCTCAATATTGAGTCAATACATGGTACAGTGATTCTGGAAAGATGTTCGGATACTAGATTCAGACAGCTCTGCCTCAGGTGGTGTTAGTTCTGGCCAAAAATATCTGATGTGTTGGAGTCAAATCCATTCAATGTATGAAGCTCCCTCTGCTTCGGGTTGAGTCACTGGTGATACTTTGAATAACTGTTTTTCAGGATGTTTTGAGAAACTCAGATATTGAAATGGATTGGATATTCAAGATGTCATTTGCATATGACATAGCCAATGTGAGTATAATTTAAGCTTAGTTAAAGAACAAATACCACAGCGTTTCTGAATTGTTCTCTGTCTTGGATTAAAATTGAGCTATAATCTTTTCTAAAAATTCTCATCCTCCTCCAATCTCCTCTTCAAACAAAGCGGCTCCAGCTCTAAAATCTACCACTTCAGTCAGATTTTCCATGCTTTTCTGCTTCTCTGATCTCAAGTAAAGATTGAGAGAGGAAAGTATTTTACACTAAAGTTAGAATAGATGCTAGGCTTACCCAGTCGGTGAAGAGCAGGGTAATTTACATTTTAGGGTAGGACTTTTTATCCCAAAGAGGATATAATTACTAGACCACGAAGTGCGATGGGAAGGTGGATCCCTAATACTCCAGAAAATGGAGATCTGTGCCACAGTAATCACAATACTGCTAACCTGAGAGGTGGGCTATGAATGCAGATGTGAAAAGGTATATAAACAGGCAGAAGCAGGCAGGGTGCTGTGGTGGCTGCAAAGTAGAGGATAATAATAATAATAGCTAAAATATATTTAGTGTGACTTTGGGCCAGGCACTGTCTAGCACTTTCCATGTATTAATTTATTCAATTCTCACAAGAAAATGTAAGGTAGGTCTATTATTCTCCCCATTTCACAGAGTGGGAAACAAGGTACAGAGAATTTATATAACTTGCCCAAGGTCTCATAGCTACTCACAGCTCATAGCTAATAAACAGTGGAGCCAGGATTTGAACCTAGGCGTTTTTGAGTCCTACACCCTTAACCAATATGTTACACTGGTGTCCCTGGGTGATGCCCTCTGTACCTCAACCTCCATGTGTGTATAATGAATATGGTTGACCTGGTTGACATCGAACGGCTTTTCTTCCTCAAGGTAATAAATGCTGTTTGTTTCTAATGAGCTAAATCTTAATGGCCTTGTGATACTTTGATTTCCTAGGCCTTAGCAGGAAGCCAGCATATTGCTACCAAGCAAGGTAGACAAACAGAAACTTCCCTGTGATTGGGTCTCCATGGGTGACCCTGGGCCTCCACCGTCATTATTTCAGTGAACCTTCATTGAACATCTGTTTAGGGTTTATTCTAATCTGGGCACTTCTGTAGGAAAACAAAGGCTTGTTTCTGGCTGTGAATGGCTTAAAATCCAGGTAAAGAAAAAAATAAAACAGCAGTCAAGAAAAGTACATATGAAATGACTTAAGTGGCAGTGGAATGGTTGTCAGTGGGAGGATCTGACAGGCACCCTTTCCCACTGTGGGCTCCCCTGTCCTTCTCTTCAATCCTGTCTCTTGCCTGCCAGGCCAGGGAAGTAGTCTAGACTCCAATGATCCAAGTCAAATCAGTCCCTGGGTGATGCAAACCTTTAACGTGCTCGGCTGCTAACCGAAAGGCAGGAGGTTTGAATCTACCCAGAGGTGCCTTGTAAGAAAGGCCTGGTGATCTACTTCTGAAAAATCAGCCACTGAAAACCATATGGAGTACAGTTCTAGTCTGACTCACATGGGGTCACCATGAGTTGGAATCGACTTAGCAGCAGCTAGCTGGTTTTTGGTTTTGGGTTTGCCCTGATCAAAACAGTTGGTATCATTCATGTTGGACATGATAAGTAAATTCACATCAAGGTGTAAATGATCAGTAGATTTAACCTTTTCAGGGTGGGTATTTGGTTTTAACCCTATGGTTTCTCTGGAGAATGCTGGGATGGGTGAGAGTGGCACTCTGAAGGGGGAAATCTCCCAGGCAGCCATCACCTACCCCAGGTCACTGAGTCTATCCTGACTCCATGCCCCAAGAACAGAGAACAGCTTGACACCTTGCTTTGGTAGGATTGCTGCCTCCGGAAGTGGAGTGTGCACATTACAGGGTCATGCAAGGAAGTCACTGGTGACAGAATGGGCTAGGTCAAGGGCAGAAGAACTTTAGGTCCTTCAAGTCCAATTTCTTTGCCAACACTCTTTAAAAGGGGACTGAGAGTAACAGAAAATGGTAGAATAAATAAGGCAAAGGATGCTCATTTGTCACTGCAGCCTCTTAGAGTTTTTCCATGTAACTTTGACATGAACATGCGCACACTGGCCCACACTCTGTGGGTCAGGTTACGCTTCTGGCCATCACATCCTCATCATAAAACAATTCCTCTCCCCATGTTTATTTGAGCCGCACCTCCTCTATACCAGGGACCCGAGAGGTTCTGAGACACCCCAGGCATCTCAAGCCAACAATCGTGTATTGATTGAGCCCCTAATTTGGGTCAGGCCTGATTCTGGATATGGAGGGCACAGAGGAATAAGGCCCCCTGTCCTGTTCTCAAGGAGCTCATGCCAATGGGGCCAGCCTGGAAAGGGGCTTCGAAGCTGAGAATTCCAACCTCTTCTTTAGTGAGAGGATGAACCTTCATTTCTTTTTCTTTCTTCCTTTTTTAAGTTTTAAACTACACTTTATTTTCTGGATCAGTTTTAGGTTAACAGAAAAATTGTGCAGAAAGCAGAGAGAGTTCCTGTATGTCCCCTCCTCCCCCTGCATAGTTTCTCCTGTTGTTAATATCTTGTTGTAGTGGGGTACATTTATTACAACCGATGAGTCAATATTGATACATTATTAATAACTAAAGTGCATAGTTTACAGGAGGGTTCACTCTGTGTGTTGTGCAGCACTGGTGACACAGTGGTTAAGAACTCGGCTGCTAACCAAAAGGTTGGCAGTTCGAATCCACCAGCTGCTCTTTGGAAACCCTATGGGGCAGCTCTACTCTGTCCTATAGGTTCACTGTGAGGCAGACTTGACTCAACGGCAACGAGTTTCTTTGTGTTCTATGGCTCTATGGGTTTTAACAAATGCATAATGTCATGTTTCCACCATTATTGTATCATACAGAATAGTTTCACTGCCCTGGGTCTTTATTTCTAAGGAAAAGAAGCCCTAATGAGTTAAGAAAATGAAGGGCATAGAAGTTGGCTTGGGGGTTTAAACTCTTGCTTGGCCACTTACTGGCCAGGTGATCTTAACCATCCAAAGCCTCAGTTTCCCTGTGTATAAAAGAAAGATAACATCAGTACCCACCTCATAGGGCTGTGAGGATTAAGGTATGGAAAATGCTTAGCACTGTACCTACCACATAGCAGGTGTCTAATAAATGTTAATTGTTAGTAACAGGAGTAGGAGTAGTATTACTATTACCACAGATAACTCTTACCAAACCCAACCCGTTGACGTTGAGTGGATTCTGACTCATAGCATCCCTACCGGACAGAGCAGAACTGCCCTATGTGGTTTCTAAGGAGTGGCCGGTGGATTCGAACTGCCAACCTCTTGGTTGGCAGCCAAACTCTTAACCACTGCGTCATGAGGGCTCCAGATAACTCTTTACTAGCGCTAAAAAACATACATTATCTTATTTAATTCTCCCCCCTTTCCTATGACATAGGTCTGCACTGTCCAGTATGGTACCCACTAGCCACATGTGGCTATTGAGCACTCGACATGTGGCTAGTCCAAATTGAGACATGCTGTAAGTATAACATTGACACCGGATTTTGAAGGCTTATTAAAAAGAAGAATGTGAAATGCCCTCATTAATGGTTATTTATATTGATTACATGTTGAAATGATAATATTTTAATATTAAAATTAATTTCTCCTGTTTCACTGTTTTAATGTACTAGATTAAAAATGACACATGTGGCTTACATGATGTTTCTATTGTATGGTGCTATTAATAATATTACCAGTAAACTCCATTATTCATTACTAACTCCAGTATTAAAAATATTAACTCCATTTTAAAGAGGAAAAAAATGAGGCTTACTGAGGTGAAGTCAACTGCTCGGCTGGTAAGAGGCAGACTGGATTTGCAGCCAGTATGTGTCAAATGTTGCTCTCTTTCTACCATGCTAAGTACCCCCTGCTAAGTACTAGAGAGCACCAAAAGAAAAAAGAAAAAAAGACCCCAAACCCATTGCCGTGGAGTGGATTCTGACTCATAGAGACCTCATATGTTACAGAGTAGAACCGCTACCCAGGGTTTTCTTGTATGTAATCTTTTCAGAAGCAGTCACCAGGTGTTTCTGCCATGGAGTGGCTGAGTGGGTTTGAACCACCAACCTTTAGGTTAGTAGTTGAGAGCAAACTGTTTGTGGCATCCAGGGACCTTTACCAGGGGTACAGATGTGGGAATTGGAGGTAGGGGCCCTGTGAGCCTCCCTCAACTTCCCAGTAGAGAAAGAGGAAACACCATTAGCAGACTGATGATCAAACTGCCGAAAGTGCGTGAAATCTGGCACATAAATTGTGAATTTCTTATAGTTCTATTTGTTCTCTGACAATATACTGAAAAATCACACATTGTCAAGACAGAAAATACAGAGATGCGTGCCATTGCTTGGAAAGGCCCACACATGGGAAGCTTCTACATGCCCCTGAGCATGTTGTCTGCACATGACGGAATGAACCTCTACCAGTGGTGGCCAGAATGTGAAATCTCTCATGCCTGGTGGGTCTGGCACTGCCCAGGCAGGGACGGAAGCAGAGTGATCTGGTGTGTGTCTGGCTGTCCTGGCCCCAGATTCAGAGGAAGGCTTTAACTGGGGACTGCAGCTGCCCTGTGTTTGGATGGGAGGTCTCCATGAGGTCATAGAGGACTTCCTGATTGGACACGGCTCTCACCAGACTTCAGGCCCTGTCCTTAGCCTGCTGGAGCCTGGCTGGGGACATTCCAGAGGCAGCTTCCGCCAGGCCCTCCACTCCCGCCTGAGAGTGGCCTGCCCCACTTTGTCCGGGCACTTCTGTTGGGTCCAGTTGAGTGGCCTGTGTTTCCCACATGTGATTCAACCTTACTCTTTCACAAACACACAAGCCACACTGATAAAGGAATATGGTCTCCTGGTTTTTATTTATTTATTTTGGAGAGGAGGTGGTGGGGGGTGGGGAGGGGCGTCAGAGAGGCGTGTATATCCACTGTCCTGGACATTTCTTTTTGTGTCTGTATCAGCCCATATTTCAAATGCACTATTGCCTGAAAAGCTCTCCCTAGGGCGGGACAGTGACTCAGCCTCAGGACCACTGGAGGAACAGGCGAGTCCCTGATCTGGTGTCCAAGAGGCCAAGGACTCTGTCCTTGTATGCAGTGGTCAATTCAGGATGCCCTCCTCACATCCCTCCTCAGAGCCACACCCACGGGTGACTTCATGCCCCCTTCTCAGCCAGGTCTGTGATTCCTACGAACCTGGCTGTTCTTGTATAATGGTGTGGGGGAGTATAGCTTTGACCTACCCTCCTCCCCAACCCTCTCCTACAATCACCCAGGGCACAGGGAACAGTAAAATTGAGTGGTTTAGAAGAGACTGGGCTTTGAAGGCAGTCCAACTTGGTTTTAAATCTCAGCTCTGCCACCCACTCCCTGGGAGCAATTAAAAACCCTAGGTGCCTGACCAGGCAGTGCTTCATTCTGTTGTACATGGCCTCGCTATGAGTTGGAACCCACTCAATGGCACCTAACAACAACAATAGATGCCTGAAACTAGGAAACAGAGAACGAAAATATTAAAAACTCATTTGCTGTCAAGTTGACTCCGACTCATGGTGACCCCATGTGTGTCACAGTAGAACTGTGCTCCATAGGACTTTTAATCACTGACTTTTGGGACATAGATCACCAGGCCTTTCTTCTGTGGCACCTCTGGGTTGCTTCAAACCTCCAACCTTTTGGTTAGCAGATGAGCATGCTGATGGTTTGCATCACCCAGGGATTCCTGTACCATATGTAACCTGTAGCTTATATAGGTTCTTTACTGATCTTGTAATATTTGGGGCCCGAGCATTGGTATGTTTTTTAAGCCCTCCAGGTGACTCTAATATGTGGCCAAGGATGGGAACAATTGATCTAGGTCAGGGCTTCTCAAACTGCAAGGGGCACATGAATCCCCTGGGGTCTTGTTAAAACGCAAAGTCCGGTTCAGTAGTTCTGGGGCAGGGCCTGAGATAGCGCATTTTTGCCAAGCTCCCAGGGGATGTGGATGCTGCTGGTTCACAGGCCATTCTTTGAGTAGCAGGGATCTGGGCAGTCTCATCTCACAGGGGGGAAAATGGAGTCCCAGTCAGGTGAAGTGACTTGCTTGAAGGGACTTAGTGGCAAAGTCCACACTTAAACATGTGTCTTCTGACTCTAGTGTTCTTCCTGTCCCATTATATATAATAGTGCTTTATTCTTATATGATAATAATAGTATCTAACCCTTCAAGAACGCAATAGATGACATAAGAATTTTTCAATATTCCCTATTTTATTGCCTTTCCCTATGAAGTGCTCAAACAGGACCCTTAAATGAATGCAGTAGTATATAATTAACAATATATAGGTAATAAAATAATATTCTTAATTACATAACATTGTTTCTAAATATTGATATTATTTATCATATTTATATAATTTTTTCATTATAATTTATATTGGGTATTTACTATGTCCCAGACATGGTGAATTCACAATTCATGTGAATTGTCACATTTAATCTCCACAACCACCTTATGAGGTAGGTATTGTTGTCACCTCCATTTTGATAGGAAAAATGAGGCTTACTGGAGTAAAGTAACTTGCCTTCTACTAAGTGATTGAGCTAGGATTTGAACTTGGGAGTAGAACAATAGGTTGTACTAATTGTTAAGGGGCCATACCTTCTTAGCTTCACACTGAATGGCCAGAAATAGCTTTCTCCTTTTTTGATGTCCTGCCCAGGACTGATCTTCTCCATCGAGTTAAGATGGAGGAAGGACTTGCCAGTGGCTCGTAAACAAGGGAACATAGAGATGGGCACGTCCCGTGCCCCAGGTCTGTCTGTGTTTCTCTCCATCCGTCTCTCCGCCCTTGTTTCCACCAGCGGGGTCCAGAGCACCTGCTCGGCTCCACTGGCTCGCTTTCACTCTTCCAGGGCATGCTGTTTCTCTCCAGGAGCCCGCTGAGATCCCATGGCAACCTAAAGTCTTCCACCTGCCTGGTGGACGGGCGCACGCAGGTGAAGCTGTCAGGATTTGGGCTGTGGACGCTCAAGTACAGAGGGACAGATAGGAAGTACGATGACAGAAGGACGGACTATTCAGGTAACCATGGAAGGTTGTGAGTTAGCCCCCGGGAACATGTCAGTGCACAGCCTTCCCGATTATTTTCTTTGTTCACACACACGGACCTTCTTTGCCCTTTAGGTCAGGCATCATCAAGCTGATTTCTCAGGGGCAGATGCTGTTGTTTCTCCTGCTTCCTGAGAAAGAAGGGGCGGCTTTTCCCGTTCTGCAGTGCTGTTCTCACTCCACACGACGTCTCCTTGCTTTGCAGAGCTTTACTGGACGGCCCGGAGCTGCTGCGGCTCCCGGGGGCGCCCTGCACGGGCACCCCAAAGGGGGACGTTTACAGCTTTGCCCTACTGATGAGGCAGCTGATCCACCACCAGGACGGTAGGTTCTTCGATGACCTTGACGCAAGACCTTACGGTAAGTCTGGGACAGTCTCCCTGGAGGCTTCGGTCTTCTGAGCTGGCTTTTGAAAGTCCATTTTTATTAACTATTTTATTATGTGCTTATTAATTTAAATTTATTCCATTCTTATTTTTTATTTAAAAAATTCTTATTCTTTTCAAATTTGGAAACAAGTTTCATTTTGGCTACAAACAAAATCAAGAAAGTAGGTTTACAAAGCTGGACAAGGAGACGGAACATAGTGGTAACGTTTATTGTTTATTAAAAGAACTTTTATGTAACATATGGAATGCAAAACTGCATAAAGCACCCTTTGGGAATTTTCAGCACCAAATGTTTATACACCCCTAAAGTCCTATAGCAGTGTGCCTTACTCCAACAAAAGTTGATCTATTAAAAAAAAAAAACTTGATCCCAAAACAGATTAATTAGGTAAGTACTTATTTGCTTTGGAGCCCTGGTGGCACAGTGGTTAAGAGCTCGGCTGCTAACCAAAAGGTAGGCAGTTCAAATCCCCCAGCAGCTCCTTGGAAACCCTATGGGGCAGTTCTACCCTGTCGTATAGGGTCGCTGTGAGTCGAAATCGACTTGACAGCGACAGGTTGGTTTTTTTGCTTTACATTAGGATTCTTCATTTTTTAGGAGGATTTTGAATATTTCTCTTAAAATACCCAGATTTCTCAGAAATTCTAGTCTGCTTTGATTTACTTAAAAATTTAATTTACAAATTCTAGAAGTTCAAACACTTAACAAACTAAGCCCAAAATGAACTTCGGAAATCATCAACCGAATCAAAAACCCTACGGCAGGAGTTCCATTGAGGCCTTCCCTGTCAGAAGAGAAGGGCAATGAAAACATCATGGGCATGGTGAGGGCATGCTGGGATGAATCTCCAGCGAAGAGGCCCACTTTCTCTTCCATCAGGAAAATTTTACGAGAAGCTAGTCCTAAAGGGTGAGTTAGATGTGCAACAGGTATTGGTATTTTCTCCTCATCATTGGATCATTAGAATATTAAAACTGTGATGTGCTGTGATTGGTGCCAATGCCAATGGCTCAGTGCGTTCATTCATCCATTCATCGTACACTCACTCACGGCCTGCCATATGCAAAGCACTGTGCTACATGCTGGTTAAAGTGGAATAATAAATTCTCCCTTCATTTCATAAATATTTACAAAATGCATCAGGCATTAACGTTTCTACTTCTTTCCTTTGTTCATGTCAGACATCCCTAATCAATCAAGGCAGTGTATCCCAGAGAGTTTTGACATGGCCTCAGAATCCTTTTCAACCAGCGTGCCAAGAGTCATAAGTAATCAATTGAAATTGAACTAGGCGATAAAAATTATTCACCAACCTCAGAGTAGATTATTGGCTTAAAATTATTCAAGCCTGTCAACATTTTTTTCTCCATAGTAGCTTGCTTCACATCATGATAATGGCTTCCGTCTCCTTTTCTGAAAGACTAGTTTAAATTATTTCTCCGAACACCCTTCTAACAACTTATAGGATCTAAAAGTACCTCTTACATTGGATACCCGGAAAAGATAAGAACAACTTGTCCTGAATTCTGCCAATTTTCAGTTGGGCTATGACGGTGGTATGGAGCATATTGAGATGTGCTGGCAGGGCCAGTGATGGCCACCATTTGTTAAGTGACTGCTGGGTGGGTACTAGCTAGGTACTTTATACACATCATCTTCCTGAATTCTCCAAACAACACTGCCAGGTATGTATTAGTATCCCCATTTGCCAGATGAGCAAACTGAGGCTTAGCGGAATGAAAGGTGCTGCCCAAGATCGCAGAGCTGGTAAATGGCAGACTGTGTCCCGCCATGTGGCCTTGTTGCCATTGTCATTTCAGTGCTGTACATTGGTGACTCTGAAGCAGGAAACCTTAAGGGTGAGAAATGCTTTCTTGGGATGTGTAGTTAGCAGTTCTACTCCACTGTGGCCCTAAAGTTCTTAGGAAAAAGCCACGTGAGCATACTAGACAGTATGGTGAGCAAGCTGGAAGTGTATGTCAATCACCTGGAGGAGGTGGTGGAAGAGAGGACCAATCAGCTTATGGCAGAGAAGAGGAAGGTGGAAAAGCTTCTGGCCACAATGTTGCCCAGGTAGTCCAAAGCTCTGTGGGTCTTGACAAAGGAACCCAGGGAGCAACAGCATCACCACCTAAGATGCCCTACAAGGAGAGAATATTTCCTTTTTTCGTCTCATAAGATGGTATGAGGCTCTTCTTAAAGAGGGCAGTCATTTTGTGTGTAATTTCATAAACTCTGAAAAGGGAGAGAAAGGCAAAAGCCCCTGAATCCATAGGCATAGACAACGTATTTTACATTGAAAATGGTGTACGTAGCAATATAAGAATCACCACTAGATGGCGCTCTAGTTTCATGAGTCCGATTAATCATTACTGCCCTAGTGTTTGATTGTCCCTCCAAAAGCTTTGCACAATACAGCATGAAATTATGACCGCGGACTCAAAACTTGTTTCATTTTGTGTCTGTTTTTCACTTGTGCACGTGCTTAACACTTGGCAGAAGCACTTTCTGTTCACACTCCCCTTCTTCCATGTCTTGACAAAAGAAATGAGGAGGACTTGAATGTGTTAACGTACTACTGGTCGACTGAAGCAAAAACTGGTTGCTGGATTGGTGAATGATTACATTTGTTTCCACATCTGCAGGCTGAGTCTTTACAATCAAATTCTATAACCAGCAGAGGAAAATGAGATGTCCTCGGGAGAAAATCTTTTTAGTAAATGCATTTATGTAACTCCCCATCTCCCCATTTTATACCAACCAATTCAAATATCTTCTTAGAGAAAACAAAGTTGGAGAAATGGATGTCCACAGAATCCCTCTAGATGGATGAATTTTGTTACCCCAAAACCTAATCCATTGAAGCAAACAGATCTGTGAGAGCAACTTTGTGGGGGCTTGTGAGAGACAAAAGGTCCCTGGGTGGTGCAAATGGTTGGCAGTTAGAACCCACCCAGCGGCACCACAGAAAAAAGGCCTGGTGATCTGCTTCTGTAAAGATTACAGTCAAGAAAACCCTATGGAGTAGTTCTATTCTGTAACACATGGGGTTGCCATGAGTTGGAATCAACTTGACGGTAATGGGATTTTCTTTTTTTTTTTTTGGTGGGAAACAACATGCCTAAGACGCTGTTTTAAAAAAGGACCATTTCCTCCGGTTTCAGCTTCATTGGAGAACAGCTCATAGCTGGGAGGTCTGTGGAACCAGAACACTTTGACTCCGTGACAATCTTTTCTTCGACATTGTTGGATACACAAAATTGTGTTCTCTCAGCTCCCCTTTGCAAGTTGTAAAGGTCCTCAGTGACCTGTACAGCTTATTCGACAGTATCATTAAAACGTATGACGTGTACAAGGTGAGCTGCCTGGTTCCTGGGTTGTGAGGTAGCACGTGCTCCTTGCTGGCCATCTTGGGACTTGAGTGAGGAGGAGCTTGACCTAGGCATCAGGCATGAGGAAGGCTCTGTTCCAGGCTGGCAGTCCATCTCAATTCATGGCAGAAACTCAATACTTTATTCTTGTCTATTTTCTTGGAAAAGGGCCTCGTTAATCAGAGATTCACGTGCTTGTCAAGATCACCAATTGGTTCCTTCGGTTTCCTTCTACTATTTTATCTAACAGTAAACACATTTTTAAAAGGTGTTGACCTTCTACTGGCTAATTCCTCCCCTCCTCTCTGAATAAATATTCCTTAGCTTTAGAAAGGCTCGTGTTTTCACTTTTTTAAAGGCTATATTTGGGTCTTATATGGGTCTCATTTTTGTTATCGTGATGCTTAGCAATTCAAGGTGGGGATCGACCTGCAGTTTTAGACTCTGAGACCTGTGGCTAAAGGCAAGACAACATATAATCACCTGCCCAGTGTTGCTCTGAGAACGTATGAATATGGCCATCTACAGTGAAAAACCCCCATGTGTCTGTCAGTTTGTTGTACTGTGGGAGCTTGCGTGATGCTGTGATGCTGGAAGCTATGCCAGAAGTTCAAGCTGGATTCAGAAGACGATATGGGAAGAGGGATATCATCGCTGATGTCAGATGGATCCTAGCTGAAAGCAGAGAATACCAGAAGGGATGTTTACCTTGTTTCATTGACTCTGCAGAGGCATTCAACTGTGTGGTTCAGAACAAATTACGGATAACATTGCGAAGAATGGGAATTCCAGAACGCTTAATTGTGCTCATGAGGAACCTGTACACAGATTAAAGGAGGCAGTCGTTTGAACAGAACTAGGGGATACTGCATGGTTTAAAGTCAGGAAAGGTGTGCGTCAGGGTTGTATCCTTTCACCGTATTTACTCAATCTGTATGCTGAGCAAATAATCCGAGAAGCTGGACTATATGAAGAAGAAATGGGCATCAGAATTGGAGGAAGACTCATTAACAACCTGCGATATGCAGATGCTGAAAGTGAAGAGGACTTGAAGCACTTACTGATGAAGATCAAAGAATACAGCCTTCAGTACGGATTACACTTCAACATAAAGAAAACAAAAATCCTCACACTTGGACCAGTAAGTAAGGTGATAAACAGAGAAAAGATTGAAGTTGTCAAGGATTTCAGTTTACTTGGATCCACAATCAATACCCATGGAAGCAGCAGTCAAGAAATCAAGCATTGGGCAAATCTGCTGCAAAATACCTCTTTAAAGTGTTAAAAAGCAAAGATGTCACTTTGAGAACCAAGGTGCACCTGACCCAAGCTGTGGTGTTTTCAGTTGCCTCATACGCATGTGAAAGCTGGACAATGAAGAAGGAAGACTGAAGAATAATTGAAGCCTTTGAATTGTGGTGATGGCGAAGAATATTGAATATACCCTGGACTGCCAAAAGAAGGAACAAATCTGTCTTGGAAGAAGTAAAACCAGAATGCTCCTTAGAAGCAAGGATGGCGAGACTGCGTCTCACATACTTTGGACGTGTTATCAGGAGGGATCAGTCTCTGGAGAAGGACATCATGCTTGGTAAAGTAGAGTATCAGCCAATAAGAGGAAGACTGTCGACGAGATGGATTGACACAGTGGCTGCAACAATGGGCTGAAACATAGCAATGTGTGAGGATGACACAGGACCAGGCAGCGTTTCCTTCTGTTGTACATGGGATCGCTATAGTTGGAACCGACGCACCAGCACATAACAACGGCAACAAGGTGAGAAAGAAGCTTTTTTGGGGGGAGAAATATCAAAAAAACAGTAATAATTTGGCTTCATTAAAGAAAAATGCTCTACTAACCAACAGAACAGTGGTTAAGAGCTTGGCTGCTAATCAAAAGGTCAGCAGTTCAAATCCACCAACCACTCCTTGGAAACCCTATGGGGCAGTTCTACTCTGCCCTATAGGGTCGCTCTGAGCCAGAATTGCCTCGATGACAACACGTTTGGTTTTTGGTTTGGAACCAACAGAAGAAGCAGGTGGTGGTATTGACGGCTGTTTTGTGTGTTGTCTGGCTTTTCAGATGGGGTCAGATCATAACTCCAGGGCCAATAATGTGCGCGCATACTCAGGCATGCCTGGTGGGCAGCCACAAGTGTGCCTGCCCACACGCGTGATCCCAGGACTCTGCCTCTGCCAGTGCCCCGTAGGCCAGGGAGACTTACGGGACAGTGTGGTCATGTCCCTCGGTGACACATCCTCAGTGGTTATCCCCCAATGTTTCCCATAAATGTTCCCCTCTGTTTAAGGGGGAAAGAAATGATGGTATGGGATAATCTCAAGGAACAGATTGTATAAACCAAGCAAACCCTGAATCTGCCCTGTTTAGGAAGGCATTTTCCTCTTAGTATTATCTTCTCAGAGTCCCTGGGTAGTGCAAATGGTAATGCACCTAGCTGCTGACTGAAAGATTGGAGGCTCGAGTCCACCCAGAGCACCTCAGAAGAAAGACCTGTTGATCTACTTCCAAAAAATCAGCCATTGAAAACCCTATGGAGCACAGTTCCATGCTGACATATGTGGGTTGCCATGAGTTGGAGTCGATTTGACGGCAACTCGTTTATTATCTTCTCAACTATGTTTTGCATGAGCTAATCTTAGTTTATATTCCTAAAGGATGTTCTCATGGAGGAGAGAGGCAACCTAGAATCAAGGTGGACTTGGGTACTAGTTGACTTTGTTTAATTTCAGGGTCACCAGGAGAGGGAGGTGTTTTTACCGCCTGGTTAGTGCCTAACATTCCACTGTTACCACATCATCTTTCAATTCTACTAAATGCAAATGTACTTGGACAGGTCATAACTTTAAGGTTCGATTAGTCATTGATTTCTCTATTGTGACTGAAGGATTAGAAAGTTGATTGTAGGAGGATTAGGGGAGAAGAGGACAGACCAGGCAGATACATTTATACACATAAAACCCAAAATCCCATTGCCGTTGAGTTGATTCTAACTCATAGCGACCCTGTAGGACAGAGTAAAACCACCCCATAGGGTTTCCAAGGCTGTAATCTTCACAGGAGCAGATTGCCACATCTTTCTTCTGTGGAGCTACTGATGGGTTTGAACCACAGATCTTTCGGTTAACAGCCAAGCTCTTTAGCCACTGTGCCACCAGGGCTACTTATTTATACACATGCATGAGCATAAATGTGCATAAGAGCCCTTACGTGGGGTGAGGACTTTTCAGGTTGGATTCCTCTTTATCTACCTGGTCCTTCCAGTTTACCTATCCACCCTACTGCCTGTCTCACTGTCCTGAGCTTGGGTTGGGGATATATGGTCACCACCACTCTCAGATTTCAGAGGAAGAAGCAGCACCTGTGGGAGGAGGGTCAGAGAAGGGAAGCTTTGTGGAAAACTAGGACAAGAGCAGAAACTTGAGGAAAAACTGGGACTTGGGTGGGCTGGAGGTGATGGAGTGTGACTCTTCAAAGTATGGATAGCAGGGGTCAGTAACAGGGACGTTGGTCCCTACCCTCCAACCCCCAGAGAACATGCGGTCACCCTATTTCTTTATTTTCAGGTTGAAACCATTGGAGATGCATACATGGTGGCTAGAGGGCTTCCCATCCGCAACGGGATCCGGCATGCAGACGAGATCGCCACAATGTCCCTGCACTTCCTCAGTGCCACCATCCACTTCCAGATTGAGCACACGCCTGAGGAGAAGCTCAAACTCTGGATTGGTTTCCACACAGGTAGATAGCACTGAGGGCAGGCTGGTCTTATGATCCAGGTGTGGCAGCAGGTAGTTCTTAGTTTGAGTCCTAGCTCTGAGGCTTTTAAGAACCCTGAAATTGAATGGCAACATCTTCAGTGGAAACAAAGGGTTGAATTGCCTTTGCAAATGTATTTCCAGTTAGTCAGATTGCTTGGTAACAACCAGGACACACAAAGACTACAAGATGTCAAACGAAAACGAGGAGGAGACCAAAATCTGGGACAGTTGTATTGGGCTGCTTTTCCTCCATGCCTTTGCCTCGAATACCCTTTGATCTGTTCTGCTTTTGTCATATTCCTACCCAGGGCAAGCTTCATGGGCACATGACCTGTGCAGAAGTGTCCTGCACTTGGTTTAATGCTCTGCTATCACTGTCTTGAAATTCTTTTTTTTTTTTTTACATATTTATTTATTTATTTTTAAACTTGTACTTTAGATGAAGGTTTACAGAACAGTACACATACTGTTTTATGACAATGGTTACCAACCCCACAACATGTCAACACTGTCTCTTCTCAACCTTGGGTTCCCTATTACCAACTTTCCTGTCCCCTCCTCCCTTCTAGTCTTTGTCCCTGGACTGTTGTGCCCCAGTAGTTTTGTTTAGTTTTATGGGGCTGTCTAATCTTTGGCTGAAGGGTGAACCTTGGGAGTGACTTCATCACTGAGCTAAAAGGGTGTCCGGGGGCCATCGTCTTGGGGTTTCTCCAGTCTCTGTCAGGCCAGTAAGTCTGGTCTTTTTTGGTGAGTTAGAATTTTGTTCTACATTTTTCTCCAGCTCTGTCCAGGACCCTCTATCGCGATCCCTGTCAGAGCAGTCAGTGGTGGTAGCCAGGCACCATCTAGTTGTACTGGACTCAGTCTGGTGGAAGCCGTGGTGGTTGTGGTCCATTAGTCCTTTGGACTAATCTTTCCCTTGTTTCTTGTTTTCTTCATTCTCCCTTGCTCCCGAAGGGGTGAGACCAGTGGAGTATCTTAGATGGCTGCTCACAGGCTTTTATGTCTTGAAATTCTTAATAATTTTTGAAGAGGTCTTACATTTTGATTTTGCAATGGGCCCCCAAAATTCTGTAGGTTCTCTTGCTCCTACCCATTTCCTCCAAGGCTCAACTAGAATAAAACCTGATCCCAGATCAGAATTAATTATTCTCATGTTTGTGCCACTGTTGGCTTTGTTTACATTTCTAGTGTATGAATGACATATTATCATTAATTGATTACTTGGATTTCCACCAAATCTTTCTACCCTAAGACTTATTGCCAAGCATTGCCCCAAGAGGGCGCTTGACAAATATTCCTTGAATTGCGTTATTTGACTTGATGGGCATGGACCATCCAGCCCTTGGGAAATGCCCGCTGATTATGCCCTTTGGTTCTTCACTTCATAGGTCCCGTGGTGGCTGGTGTGGTGGGAATCACCATGTCCAGATACTGTCTGTTTGGGGACACTGTGAACATGGCATCCAGAATGGAAAGCAGCAGTTTGCGTGGGTACCGCTTACAGCACTTTGCAAACACATTATCATCGTCCTTCCACTCCCCTATTTTTAACCAGAGGGTTATTTTTAGAAGATGAATTTGCATTTTGTCTATCTTTTTCCCTCTGGAGGATAAGTGCATTATCCACACAAGACAACACTAATCTCAAGCTTGGTAGACAGGGTTTAGCACTGTGCTCTTCACGGAGCCATGTAAACACATGCAGTTTCCTCCTTCCAAGACTTCCCGTTCTAAACAGTCAGGCTCACATGGAATAAAATCATTTTAATGTTGAGCAAAAATTGGCAAATATTTTCTGTAATGGGCCAGATAGTAAACAATTTAGGCATTACGGGCCATACGGTCTCTGTCACAACTATTCAACTCTGCCAGTGTATCGCAAAAGCAGCCACAAACAATACGTAAATAATGGGAATGGCCATGTTCCAATAAAACTTTATTCACAAAAATGGATGTTGAGCTGGAGTTGGCCTGTGGGTCATAATTTGCCGATCCCTGACGTGGATTGTATTCTTGGTTATGCAGAAGAAATCTATGACCAGGAAGTCTAGGGAACATCACATTCTTTTGCTTTATAGTAATTTTATTGCACTGACTATCGCTAGACACAAGTAACCATTTATCGGCTGAAGCATGGAAAAACAATTACTCAGTGATTTAAATGGCAAAGAGTTTAGGGTAAACATTCTTTTGAGTTTATAAATTCCCCATGATATATAAAAAAAACAAAAAAATTTTCCACTTCTTAGTACTTGGTTGTTTGAGTTAATCAACCAAGTCTCAAACAGATTTAAATCTGTCTCTTAGCTTGTAGGAATCCTGGTGGTGCAGTGGTTAAGAGCTTGGCTGCTAACCAAAAGGTCAACAGTTTGCACCCACCAGCCACTCCTTGGAAACCTTATGGGGCAGCTCTACTCTGTCCTGTAGGGTCACTATGAGTCGGAATCGACTCGACGGTAATGGGTGGGTGTAAGTAAAGGTTTTCCAGTTAAATTTTGAGAGTGGAGCCACTTTTGTAGGCTCCACACCTGATTCTGGTTGCAGTTCTGGTTATTAACAATATTTTCAGTAATATGTCCCAGCTCTGGTACCATCCCAGGCAGCCTTTCTTCTCACTGAAATCTGAGGAGACCAGTTCATCTCTATCCATGGAAAGTACCAACTTGCAAACTGAGTCAGTTCTACCTTCTATTTTCATACTGAACATACTGAAGCTTCAGCAGCACCCAGAAGTGTCTCAGCAATGCCTGGGTGGTTGGGAGTCCCAGCCCAAGTATCCCAGACTTCAAAGATTTGCTTTATAAGAAATCTTGGTGATCTGAGCAGTGTAGCATTGCCTCCCCAAAGCCACCCATCCCATTGACTCCTATACGAAAGGCATGACCTAGGTGATGACTAGACAATGACTGATTTATGGCAGCTCTCCGGATTCACGTCTCTCAGAGTACCGCAGGCGCCCTGCTGGCACTGGGAGGGTACGATCTGGAAAAGAGGCACCATTCCAGTCAAGGTAAGACCAGCCCAGCTGTACCCCACTTTCCGCATTTGGGTCTCTGATAGAGACGTTGAGGAGGTTGGCTGGATGCATGAATCCACTCCATGCAGTGGTGGACAGAGACCTATAAGGTCCCTCTCTGAAGGCTCTAGTGACTGCTAGGTCTTCTTCTTCCAGATGGGACTGTGTAGCCCTCTCAAATGGTCAAACATAGTCTCTTTGACAGAAAATAGCTACTGCCTAGACCAACCTCTGATGGGATGCCTTCTTTCTGTCTGCAATAAGTGATTCGCCAGCTTCTGCTTAGACAGACACCCACAGCCCAGTCCCCCAAATAAAGCAACACCAAATCCAATCCCAAGAATTACAACGCCTTTCTGTGTCCCTTCTCCCAGGTCTAAATGTCCAGGTAAAGGGGACAAAAGTCCACTGGTTTGGGCTTGGAGGTGCTAGGACTTCATCTCTATGCATTTAATTATCTCTTCCTTTTCCCTCTGCCTTCTCCTCCACCCTGGCCTGCAGTCTGTCACTGCAAGGTGTCATGGGTCATTCTCATCTTTCTGATAAACATTGCCCTTTCCTAGGGGGAAGGAGTGCTCCTCTTGAGGCGAGTCTGTTTGGGAGATGTTCATGCAAGTGCTTTAGGACAAATTCCTTCATCCAACCATTTTCCTCCACAGTGGGGTGGGGTGGTTACTGTGATGTTAGGTGTTTGGGTGGGTGTGGGGGTCCAGAGGAGAGAAATGAAAGGGGAGGAGGGTGCCATCAATTTCCCAGTTTGCTGACCCTGGCCCTGGCATATTGCATTAGACCAAATGACTTCAGGTCAAAGAGGATTTTCCTAGCACGGCAGCAGTGTAGACCAGGCTTTAAATCCTGTCCCACCACTTACTAGCTGTCTGATTTCAGGGCTTGGTTTTATCATCTTTAAATGGGGATGATGATAACACTATTCTCAAAAGTTGCTTTTGGGGATTAAATGTGAATATGTATGGGAGGCACTTCACGGGGTGCCCCAATTCATAGTAAGAGCTCAATCGATCTTATGAGCACTTTTAAGCTTTCCTTTTCCGCAAATGTTAGCGTCATTGGCTCTGACCGCCTAGACCATCGCTCTCTCTCCATCTAACTTATCAGCAATGCCCAAGAAAATCATCAAGATTTATCTATAGTGAGGCCTTTTGCTCACTGTCCCTGGGTGGCACAAACAATTAAGAACTTGGCTGCTTACAGAAGGGTTGGTAGTTTGAATCCACCCAGAGGTTCCTCAGAAGAAAGGCCTGAAGATCTACTTCCAAAAAATCAGCCATTGAAAACCCTATGAAGCGCAGTTCTACTTTGACACACATGAGGTTGTCATGAGTTGGAATTGAGTCGATGGCAACTGGTTGGTTCTCTCAGTGAGGTGGCTCCTGCTGTCTCAGCAAGTAAAGGAGCCCTGAGGTATCTGCTCAGAGGCTGTGCTTCCCAGGCAGCATCCTCTCTTCTCTGACACACTACTGCCTTCTTTGCTCTCCACAGGGCAAAGGAGAACAAACAACTTTCTGGTTGAAAGGCAAAGAAGGCCTAACTGTTCTGCTACCTGAGTTCACTGAGGAAGAAACTAAAGTCCCTGAGATCTTCTGAGGTGAGTATCTTCCTCAAAGACCTGTGAGGGGTCACACAAAAGTCTGTGGGGGACCATTTCTTTGGGACCTCCGATATATCCATTAAGGAGTATGGTTAAGGGAGTACTGAGTCAACCTCTCACTAGGGGGAGCCATCTAGCTGGCCGCCTCTTTCCACCCTAGAGTTTGCTCCCAGGTCTGTGGCCTAGAGCAAATGTGAACTTGGCCGAGCTGGACATGTTGAACTAATTTCCTAGGGGGCCAGGGGTGGGCTGTTACTCCCAGCCCTGGGAGACTACTGTCTTCATCTGCCAGTGAACCTGCCCAGCTGCCAGACATTTCCAGCTCATTAGCTCATGAATTCAATTTTATTCCTGGAGAGAAAAGTGGGAGAATGAAATCTGGGACTCATCCTTTCCTTCTGATTATACCTGCTGAGTTTGCGAGGTGCCTGTTCATTTAACCTTTGTGCTTATTTTCCTTATCAGCTAATCAGCCTGCAAGGAGATAGGAGTCCATATCAGAAGCCTTCTCAAATAAGTTCAGAAGGCATCTTCACTGTGCTCAGGGGAGAAACCGCTAAGGTGTGAGCACTCACTGAAATCCAAAAGGGTCGATGTTATTACAAGCAGGCTGCAGTGGCTGGAAAGGCCCAGTCCGCAACCCTGAATTCCTATGAGGGTTTCTGCTTCCAAGTGGATACTGTCCCATTCCCAATTTATTGCTCAATTTGTTTTCTAATCACTGAGCAAAAGATGCAGTCAAAGCCTGAATTTTAAGTGGAATTTTCCATTCATTTATGAAGACTTTGAAACCTTTTTTAAAAAAATTTCCAGCAAAGGTGAATCCATCCATTCCTGCTACGTATATCTCCCCTTTAAACAAAAAATAGGATTCCTGTGGTTTTATTCATTGTTATTTGTAATAGATTTTCTGAATCAATAATGCATTTTCAGTACCTTCGTTGTTTATTTCTTATAATTCCTCACACCCAAACATCTTCTGCATGGTTGCTCCTGAATATGGCAGGGCAATGTTAATGATATATTGTGCTAGAGACCTTAACCTACTGAGCTTCAACAGGGATAATCAATGCGAATGTTTTCTTTGTTGCTGGATTTCTGAGCTGCCTTGATGGCGAGATCTTTGAGATCCATACAAGGAGGTAAGTATATTAATACCTACTTTTTGGTTTGTTGAGAGCCTTTGCTATCAAATTTTACATTGGGTTGGTGGAATTCTTACCTTTCTGCAGGAAGAGGGACACTAACTCAGAGCCAGGGGAAGTGCTTTTGTGAGTAGTCCCATCCCATTGAGTTCCTAAGCATTTCCATCAGCAGAACTTTTCTCTGCCTAGAGGTAAATGACTAAACTCTATGACCTTCACAGTTACCATTTCTGTATCATGGGCTCCATTTTTGTGGTAGGCTCTGCTTCTCTCCACAGACCTTCAGTGTCATCAGGGACTCAAGCCTTTTGACTGATGCTTAAAAGGAAGGCAGGCAGAAGCAGAAGACATTTATGTGAAGGGGACAGGGATTTTCCCTGTTACACCAGAGTGGAGACAATGGGCCAAAGTCGATATCTTCATTCCTTGTAACTTCTCTTGTTTTAGATCAGGCTTCCAGAACCCTACTTTGCTTTATCATGAAAGATAACAAGGTGACCTCTGCTATGAGCCTCTTGGAGAGATGGGCCAGCTTCCTTCCTTTTTTCCTTCCATTCATCCATCCATCCATCCATCCATCCATGCATATGAACACTTCATTAATTCAAGGATAATTTATAGAACACTCACTCTGTGTCAGGTACCACACGGGGGGACATGAAAGAATATGAAATTTTCCTTGATCATTAACTCTCAGTTTAGTTGTGGAGAAGGAGGATAAATAGCAATAATGCAATGCATAAGGGACTAAAAGAGATACGGAAACCCTGGTGGCATAGTGGTTAAGAGTTTGGCTGCTAACCAGGCAGTTCACATCTACCAGGTGCTCCTTGGAAAGTCTATGGGGCAGTTCTATTCTGTCCTATAGGGTTACTATGAGTCAGGATTGACTTGATGGCAATGGGTTTAACAGAGATATGTGTAAAAGTGCAGACAAAGTGACTAAGAATTCCAGTATTATAACATTAAAATGTTATAAATGTTAGAAAATGATCTGGATGTAGGAATTGAGGTGGGTAAGACAATTGTCCATTATCAGCCCACCTTTGTATTTGTATTGAGTGCGTGTGTGTTCCCTTCTAGCCCTAGCCTACACACATACAGAAGTTGTTCATATAATAAAGACTCTGCTGGCTCTTCCTTTTTCATTGGACATTTTAACATAAATATTTGGCATCTATCTATACACACATATACACATAAAACCCATAATTACCTGTAGATTCACAGACAGTTTATATGTATGTATATGAATGACTCATATGAATTACAGAGTCTTTTAGGGATAGTAACTAGGAATTTTGATAAGAGCAGTTTCCTAAAATCTGTATTCAGTATTTTTTTCTATATCTATGAAGGAGATATATTCTTTTCTTCTTCTATAAATGTTTGTTTTATGTTTAGCACTAATGGGAATTTACAAGAGAGATTGTTTTGAGAGTGCCTTTTCTTGGTTCCCCAGTACAGAAGTTACGAGGCAGGAAGGACAACCCAACACCATTGGACTCTTAGATCACTTTAAGTCAGAAAACATCCAGTTGCCGGCAAGAGACATTAGGGCTTTACAGGCAGTGAGATGACCAAAGTGACTTTTTCCCCAAAATGTTAATTGTATGGAATGGTTTTACCTCCTGACACTGGAAACAAAAACTGGGATTTTTGAATTGTAAATGTAGGATAGAATGATTAAAAGTCTGTGGTATATATGTGTGTCTCAGAAGCTCTGGTTGGAGAAACCCGTGGGAAGGTTGAGGAATTGGCTATCACCCGTGATATATTTACACTTTAAACTGTAGTAATAGGTTATTTATTTTAAGACATTTTATTTATTTCATAGCACCAAGTAGAGATATAAGACCATAAAAAAATGAAGCAAAACTAACACAACATTATTTTATTCCGACAGCCAAGGATTTATGATTATGGCTATGAGTGTGCTACTAAGAATTTTTGACTAGAACCAATAAAATATTTCTTCTGTATTTCCTGACTACAAAAAGGTCTGAATTTACAGAAAAAAAGGTCCCACACTGGTAGGAGCACCAGCTTTGAGACCAAGGTTAGACTACATTGGGCAATTTTAATCTTGTCTATTGCTAAACAAACATGAACTCTGTGTCCTCAGAAATGTAAGTACTAGTTTAATTTCTGGTCCTACTGCCACAAGTTATAAAAGAATCATCAAACTATATATCTCAAAACTTCTCAAATACATTAAATACAGAGCAACATACTGGAGTGTTGTTTTCAAATTATAAGCCCACTAATTAAGTCTGTGACAAGATTAAGAGAAGAACTTAGAACTCTGGCATCTCCTACCATACTCTAGCCTCAAATTGGGGTCCCCAGTGCATTCTCAGGAGCCTCCCAATTCTCGATGATTTCATTTTTTTATCTTGTTGACAATGTAGATAATTGATGTCAGCATATTCTGGATCACTGGGATGGCCACATTTTCATGGTGCACTACCATGTGAGTTCATCGGTTGTGTTTGCCTTTGTGGTTCTGATTTTTGTTGGTTCCATTCTGATGATCAGAATGAGACAAACAGAGATGAGCTTGAATCTTTAAGTCAAGACTAAATGAGGTCAGACCATTCTGTACAAATGAGGATTTCTTAGCAGAGCAAATCGAGAAAAATAATGAGAGCATTGAGCATCACAAGGCACGTGGTGGGATCGCGGATGCCAATCAGACAGGCTGTGTCATGGCGGCCATGCCATAGCGGTGCTGTGAGTAGCAGTTTCATTTAGGCAAAACCACATTTTCTATGCATTAAATTAATGTTAGTGTGAATTTTATTCATCACGTAGTTTTATTTCTATTTAATTTGTATTTTTCATTTGATTTAACAAGTGTATATCAGCTATAAAAGTAATATAATGTTCATAGATATTTAAGAAATCTTAAAATAAAAACAAAATCTCTGGGTGGTGCGAACAGTTAAGCACTTGGCCACTAACTAAAAGGTTGAAGGTTCAAATCCACCCAGAGGCACCTTGGAAAAAAGGCATGGTGATCTAATTCCAAAAAACCAGCCACTGAAAACCCTACGGAGCACAGTTCTACTCTGACATACAGGCAATGGCCATGAGACAGAGTTGACTCAATGGCAACTGGTTTTAAAATGAAACAAATTAGGTTAGCACTGGTAGATCTCAAAAATCATCTGCTTCTACCCTACTCAAGTTTAGGTGAAACTTTTATTTTCCTCCCTGATTCCCATGTCATCATTTGAAGGATTGGAACCCCCTACCCGGTGGCTCAGCCCTGGTCCTTAGGCTGAATTGCACGGCATCAATGACAAAGCCCCTCTTCAGCAAAGCTGGCTATTCCTGTGCATGCTGTACTTTGCGTTGATTTTGCGCCTATACCCTACATGTGCCTCCAAACACTCAGCTGCACTTGATTGTATGCTGCTAGTCCCAACTTGAGTATGGGGGAACTTAAGTAGGCTCATCCTCCAGCTGCAGGGGAGGGACTGCAGGATCTAAGAGCCACAGGAAGTCACAAGAGAAAGTGGGGCACCAAAGAAAATCAATCATGGAAATTCACAAAACTCAATGGAACGCATATTTGGCAAAGCACTCTTCTCTGCTCCCCAACAATACAGTCTTCTGTTGTTTCTTTTCAATAACACCATCAGCGTGAGTTTGTTATCAGCAGAGGAGAGGACCTCGGGCAGAGTTGCTGCAGCTGCCTGGCTACCTCCTATAAGATGCCACAAATCCCCAGCATCATGATGAGGTGGTAGAGAACATCTGTGAATGGGGAAAAGGGGCAGACATGCTCAGACACAGGTCCAAGAGGGGCAAGGACAGCTACACAAAAGAGTTGACTCAGTGGTCTTAAGTGGATTTTCATAAAATTCTGTTTTATATGAAGTCAATTTTTTATTCCCTTGGGATTTCTGTAGCTCACTTTTATCAGTGCAAAGAATATGGCAGATAAATCTAGGTTATGGAGCTCTGACACATGACAATCTGCATTTCAGTGTAGCACTTTCACTATAGAACTTTCTCTGAAAATAAGAATCTAGGATTGGCATTGTGAAAAGCTGGTTCATATTATTTTCATGTAATTATGGAATTCAAAGCCCACACCTGTGAGGTTATTAATACAGTAAAAGGACCAACAGTCTTACCTTAGTCTTAGCTCTTAGCTGAAATGTTTCTTCCTCAAAGAAGCTTCCCTGGCTGCTATCTAAATTACCTCCACCCCCAAACACACACCCCTCACCCATAAGAGGAAGGCAGGGGCCTTGCTGTCTTGTTCACTCCGGCAGCCACCACGCCTAGAACCGGACTTAGTACAGTCATCATAATCCCAGCTGACCCTTACCAGCTGTTTGCTGTGTGCTGGGCATTGTTCTGGGCCCTTTAGCTGTAATATTGAATCCATGCAGCAGCCATGTATGATGTGGGCAATTATTAGCCCACTTTTACAGAGGAGGGACCCTTGTGGCACAGTGGTTAAGCGTTTGGTTGCTAACCAAAAGGTTGGCAGTTCAAACCCACCAACCGCTCCTTGGAAAGCCTATAGGACAGTTCTCTGCTAACGGGTTTTTGGTTTACAAAGGAAACTGGGGAGCGGGGGTGGGGGGAAGCTAATTGCCCAAGGTCATGCAGTTAATGAGTGGCAGAGCCACAGTAGGGACTCAGAGATATTCATCAAATGAACAGATCATAGCAAATCATATTCTCCACATGGAGAAACCTGCACGAAGCCCCCTGGTGATGGCTTTGCTGAGACTTGGGGGTGGAGGACCCAGTTCTACTTCATCCGATTTTGACCCCAGCTCCTCCCTCCCCTAAGAGCACAGGGGCTGGCTGGAGCCAGGTCTCCCTACTTGCCCCCTCACCCAGGAGTGCTCTCAAGTGTCGTTTTCAATTCTTAAAGGCTTTGCTGCAGCAGAAGACAAGCTTCTTTTAAAACACACCTCTGCCTTTTAAAAGCGTTACCCCGTGACATTCCCAGGTGTGCTCTTCTCCTTACCTGAGAAGCTATAGAAACTTGAGAATCCCCTACCTGTAGTGAGCAAAGAGAGAGAACACAGAAGGTTTAAGACAAGGTGAGGGAAGGAACAGACTCAGAGCTACATCTCTAACACACAAACCTCCCCTGATCAAGCCTCTGGGTACCCTATTGCCTTAAGGACAAAGCTTACACGGGCTTTACAAAGGCTTCCTCTCACATCATTTTCCCCTCAGATCTCTAAGGCAGGGGTGGGTATGCTTTTTCTGTAAAGGGCCAGATAGTAAATATTTTCAGCTTTGTGGGCCATATGATCATCATTACAACTACTCAATCCTGCTATTGCAGCTGAAAAGCAGCCATAGATAGTATATACATGAGTGTGCCTGTGTTCCAAAATATCTTTTTTTATAGACAATGCAATTTGAATTTCATGTAATTTTTATGGGCCACAAAATATTGTCCTTTTGAATTTTTTTTTCAATCACATAAAAATGTGAAAAACATCCTTAGTTTGCAGACCAAACAAAATCATGTAGCAGCCTGGATTGGGCCCACAGCTGTAGTTTGGTAAATGTACTTTCAGGTACAACTGGAGCTTCTGGGTGGTGCAAATGATTGATACACTTGCCTGCTAACTGAAAGGATGGAGGTTTGAATCCACTCAGAGGTGCCTAGGAAGAAAGGCCTGATGACCCACTTCTGAGAAGTCAGCCATTGAAAGCCCTGTGAAGCACAGTTCTCCTCTGACGCACGTGGGGTCACCGTGAGTTGGAATTAACCTGATGACAACTGGTTTATTGGTAAGGTAAACTGGCCCTCAGCCTTCCCATAGGGCTTGCTCACCCTTCAGGTCACACCAGCCCAAGGTCATACTTAGAGATACCGACAGAGGTCTTCCCTAAGGTTGAACCCCTTGCGATACACTCCCATAGACCCCTGGCCCTTGTCATGCAAATTCATCTCTCTTTCCATGAGTTGTTTATCATCTTCCCCATTGCTAGATGGTAACTTCCATGAGGACAGGGCTTGCATCCACAAAGCAAACCAAACCTGTTGCCATCGAGTCCATTCCAACTCATAGCGACCCTATAGTACAGAGTAGAACTGCCCCATAGAGTTTCCAAGGAGCGCCTGGTGGATTCAAACTGCTGACCTTTTGGTTAGCGGCTGTAGCTCTTAACCACTACGCCACCAGGGTTTCCAGGGCTTGGGTAGGTCTCATGTATTTCTGAAACCCCAGTGTCCAGCCTAGGGCCAGGTACAACGCTGGTTCCTCAAAGTTTCTTGACTTGGCCTGGACATTCCCAGCTCATTTCATCCTCTATTATTATTATTATTTACTGGGTGCTCTGTTTGGAAGCTCAGAACTTCTTAATTCCTTAGGAACATTTGAATTTAGGCCATGGGTAGAGCTTTGCAGAATCGTGAGCAAACCTCAACTCCTTAGCTTGGGCTAAGCTGCCGCTCCCAGCTGGGAGGGCTTAGTAGCAGGTAGAGGCTGTGTCTACAGGCACAGCTGGTTTGGCAAGTCAATCAAAATGCGCAGACCGGCCGTGCCTGCGGACACAGCCCAGAAATGGACGCAAACCATTTGGGAAACAGAGGAGCTTACTGCGGAGGGTGAGCTCCACCACCAGGACGCCCCCGGTCTGGTCCCGGAGGAGGCGCTTCCGCTTATTGCAGGTCTGATGACCCAGCCGGGAGAGAGTGCCGGGGGTGGGAAGGTCGGATGAGGAAAAGAGAGAGAGAAAAGAGATTAAAAAAAAAAAAAAGAAAGAAATCACAATCCGGATGGAGTCATACCCGCCCAGTCAAGAGATGTTAGTTACCTTATCTTTTTGTGTAACCAAGAGAGACATTTTTTATCCCTTCTCCAACTTGAGAAAAGGAAGAAAACTTTAATTTATTAACTCTTCAATCTAATAAAGAGGGCCTGAGAGAAATCATGCTGGAAGGGGTCAGTGGACATGGGAGAGACTGACCCTGTTTCTTTTGATGGGAAGTAAGGCTTTTATCTACTGTTACTCTCGTCCCAACGGTTTGATGAGAACATTTGCAGAACGTGTTCTGGTTCATTTTCTTTTTCTTTTCTTCCTTTTTAATGTGGTGTCAATACTTATCCCTTGGTGAACTATAAAATATCTCCCTCATCCTTTCCCTGGCCCTGTGCCCTCTAACTTCTTTCTCTTTCTCTATTTGGGCTCATAAATGACCACTCCTGGTCAAATGAATGAATAGGAATAGAGGTTCCAACTTTATTTCCGGTGGTTACCATAAACTGTGTGGGCAGGTAGCCTCTGCAGAGACACTGTGCCCCTCCCCACCACAGTCTCTACACCAAATGGACCTGAGAAGGTAATAGTTTGAGGTTTAGCACTTGTAAGTGTATGAGGCAGTGGTTCTCAAACTTTGATGTGCATCTGAACACCTGGAGGGCTTGCTCAAAAGTAGGTTGCTGGACCCACCTGGAGTTTCTGGTTCAGTAGGTCTAGAGCAAGGAACCCTGTTGACTCAGTGGTTAAGCGTTCAGCTGATAACCAAAAGGTTTGGTGGTTTAAAACCACCAGCAGTTCCGTGGGAGAAAGATGTAGCAGTCTGCTTCTGTAAAGATTTACAGCCTTGGAAACCCTATGGGGTAGTTCTACTCTGTCTTATAAGGTCACTATGTGTCAGGATTGACTCAGGGGCAATGGGTAGGTCTAGAGTGAGGTCTGAGAATTTGCATGTTTCCCAAGTTCCCAGGTGGTGCTGATGCTGCCAGTCCATGGATCACATTTTGGGAACCGCTGCTCTAAGGGGCAGGTACATAGCAGGTCAAAATGGAAAACTGCCTTTCACCTAAATTTGCTACGTGATGGAATCTGCAGCAACTTTTTGGTGGGGGATCTGGAGGCAAAACTGAGTCCCTGGCTTGAGCCTCACTGAACACGTCTGGGAAGCCAGAGCCCCGGCTGCTGGGCCCTTCCCATCACCCCCTACATCAGTCGTGACCCCAGTGTTGGAATTTCTGCAGCACCTCTCTGAGGTTGGAGAGAGGGACCCTCAGTCGGCCCAGTCAAGAGCTAAAAATATCCAGCTTTGGATTTTACCCAGAGCCCATCGTTGCCACCTAGACCATTAATTTCCATTGTGCTTGAACTTTTTCTAAGCATTTCTAAGTCTGTTATCACTTTCATTTTACCTAACATTGCCCTCTGAAAAGGGAAGGACCACTATCACTCATCACCACTCTATCTTTAAAGATAAAAAGACCAGGCCCCAGAGGGTTAAGTGACATGTGCCAGATAGAGTAGCTTGTCTGTGGCAGGGTGGACAGGGCCAGGAGCATGTGCTTCCACACCCAGCACCCTTTCCTCTGGAATGTCCTCAGCACCCATCTACACCCAGCTAAAACTATAGCTCCCCACATGCGGCTTTCTGAGGGTCACCTTCTCCCTCCGGGGAAAGTGGGCTCACCACTGGGCAGGACAGCTTCTCACTGTCGCAGATGAACGTCTCACAGTGTAGCCAGACCTTGGAGAGCTTGGGGATGTTCTGGAACCGGAAGGCGTTGAACTGGAAGGTTGCCCTGTGATCTTTCCCGTTTTCATGCACGAAGACTGTTTCATCCGTGGGGCAGCTGAGGGGCACAGGGAGAGGGGAAGTGAAACGTTACCTCATCAAAACTCAAGCAAGGGCTTCAGAGGCAAAGGTATACACAACAACAACAACACTCCCCTAGGTTTTTATACTCCCTTAGGGGTACTTGGGTGGTGCAAATGGTTAACATGCTTGGCTGCTAACTGAAAGGTTGGAGGTTCAAGTCCACGCAGAGGTGCCTTTGAGGAAAGGCTTGGCGATTTACTGTACTTCCGAAAAATCAGCCATCATAAACCCTATGGAGCACAGTTTATATACTGGTTGACTATTTAAGTGCCAGGCATTCAACTAGGTGTTGGGAGCAGACCCAGTTGTTCTTGGGAATGGACAATGGAGGCCCACATGAGTGTAGGGGCTTGTTACCTGCAGATGTGCAGTGCAGGCAAGAGTAGGTGCCAAGGAGCACCAGAGAGTCTGCTCCTCTATGGAAAAAGGTCTATGGGTTGAAGTGCTTCAGTACCAGTGGACAGCACCAGGGTGGGCCCCCAAAGCAGGGTGGACCCCAAGAGTTAATGCTGCTCCCAAAGCATCTCTCTGACTCTGCAGTAGCTCCAACACAATACACAGCAGAGAGTGACCCAGTTATGCCGAAGACCCTTCATGCTATACCCTGCCCCGCTCCCATTCTAAGAGAACCAGAACGTCCCCTCTGAGCTCTAGTGGGTGAAATGAGGAGTAACCACCGAGCCTTGATCTCTGCACCAGTGGTCAGAAGTTCGGTTCTGTTTGTGGTGGCTTCTGACCAGTGATGCTGCTATGGACATTTTCCAAATTGTGAAACACAACCCTTGCAGGATCATTTGGTAATAAACCCGAGATCCTTGGGTGAACTCAAGACATGAGTCCTTAAAATAGCTCCTTGCAGCTGGAGTGCCCAAGACCTGGTGTTAGCCAGTGGAAAATAACGTAAGCAGACCTTTGCTAGGGGGCGGGAGGAGGCAAATAATAGGCAATCCTAGAGCCCTTGGCACCACTGCCTCTTGGCACTGGCCACAGCATCTTCCTCTCACTGACAGATATCTCTGGAAGGCGTAATAGTCCACACTGACGCTTTCACACCATTGCCACATGAGTCTCCTTCCCCAAACCAGACCACCCTTTGAGATGGTTGTGCTATTTTGATCTACTCACGGGGACAGGAAAATTCCTGATAATACATCTACCCTAATCTTTCTAGATGGGTCCTGGGTGGTGCAAATGGTTAAGCATTCACCTACTAGCTGAAAGATTGGCAGTTCAAAACCACCCAGAGGCACCTTGGAAGACAGGCCTGGCGATCTGCTTCCAAAAGGTCACAGCCTCGAAAACCCTATGGAGAGGTCCTACTCTGCACACATGGGGTTGCCAGGAGTTGGAATTGACTTGACGGCAACTAACAACAATAACAACAACGATCTCTAGGCACTCTCAGGAAACTGGGGTCTCCCCCAAAAGGGCCAGTGGGAACAAAAGCATCTGGGAGGTTGCGGGAGTGGACTTTCCAATTCTCCTCTTTGACACTGGCTTTTGTGCATACGTCTCCAATCTTAAGGTGTTGTTTCAGATATAGACAAACTACGTAAATAGATCAGGGCTTCTTCAGTTTGGCTGTACTTGAATGCAGATTCCCAGGTTCCACCCAGCAACCTTCTGATTTGGTAGGTGACAGGGGCCCTACCTGTTTAACAGGCACCCAAGGTAATTCATGTGCACGCTAGAGTTTTAAGACCACTTGTAGCAACTACCCCAAAGCCCCAGGCATTGCTTCATCTGTCATATCATACATGTGTCAGGGGGAGCAACAGTACCAGAATTATCTACAGGGATATGATTCCACGGTGGGGTAGAAGCCTTTGCCCTTGTATGGCCATTACCTGAGAGAGAACCCTCATGCCTGATGGTAATTTCAGGTCCCAAGTCAATAATTCATTTCAGAATCTCTGAAGTAATTTGATTGTACCCTTGTCAACAGAACACAAATGAATCATTCAATGGTAGATGTGAAACAAGTACTCAAATGACACCCGAACTCCCATCTCTGTAGGGAGCTTGGCTGGTATGTATTAAGTGCTTGTAAATGTTTGTTAAATAAAAATAAGTACTTACATGTCCAAGGTGGCTATATCTTTGTTATCTACTCACCTTTGCCCTCAGCCCCAATGTATACTTAGCCCTTAAGAGTTTAGCAATAACACTGCACACTGGTCTGCTTTGCTTTTGGGAAGGCCTCTTCTTTATTTAATGTTAATTGCACACACATCTGTAGTCTAGTTAAAACTCTCTGTTTTCCCGAGTTACAATTTGAAGTGCTTCTTGGACAATTGTCATCTCAAATTCAACATGGCCAACACTTAACTCATTGAATCCATACCCCCTTATCCAGAAAACTTCTTCTCCAACAGTCAATAACAAACACAATTACTCATCTTAGCAATACACAGATTCACAATCTCAGAGCCATCTGTGACACACATTCCTCCACCTTCTTATCCTGTCCTTCCCTCCACCCCATATTTAATTAGTTGCTAGATTTTTATCTGTATCATAAACAAGAAGCTGTAGAAGTTTCTCCCAAACTTTTATTACCTTCTTTCCTTTCACTTGGCTACAGCCTCAGCTCTGGCCTTACTATCTTTTGCCTCAATAGCTGCTATAACCTCTGGACTCATCTTTCCACCTCTACATACTCCAACACATATGACTTCCAGAATTGTCCTCCCCGGTGCAATTGAATACTAACTGTGTACTATGTGCTAAGCTTTTCACATGGATTATCTAATTTAGTCCTCATCATAGTTTTGGTGTCAGATTGACTGGATTTGAGCCTAGTCTGCCCACCTCCCCATAAACACATACACAGACACACACTATGTGACATTACTTAATCTCTCTTGTGCCTCAGTTTCCTCATCTGTAAAATGGGGATGATAATAATAATACCTTGCTGTAAGGCTTAAATGAGATAATCTATGATAAAGCTCCTAGAATAGTACCTGGTACCTGGAAAACATTATATAAGTGTTTCCTAGTTAGTACTTAGCCTGGAAGCCCAGAGACTTTCCCTGATGTGACCCCCACAGGCCTTCATGTCTTCTTCCCAAGCTGTCCCAAGCCAGAGCAAGGTAGCCATGGATACACCCGGTCCCGCCTCTCAGCCCTGTCTTCCAGTGTGGAATACCTACCCCTTGCTGATCAGCTGCCACTGCAAGGGAAACATGAAATCAGCCGAGGGTGTGGCCCAGCAGCTATTCAACACCACCTTAAACCTGCGAATAAAGCAAAAAGAGTGTCACTTCGAGCCGGAGAGTCTTATGCCTAGAAACATCTGGTGATTAAAAAGTCTTTCAGTTAGTCTTTATTCTTTTTCTTTGTATTTAAAAATAAAAAAAATGGAGGAAATGTACTTACCGAATGCTTAACCCTTTGGCTTCTACTCCTGCAAAGAGATCTGAACCAATTTCGGATGTCTCCAGCACAAAGGGGGCTTCTTTCTTAGTGGAGAACTTGGCATTCTTTGGAAGGAAATTGACACTGGGCATTATGAAATCTCCGACCAAGAAGCTGAGTCCAGAAGAAGCAGATGAATTGGAATTGGAATTGGGTAGGGGTGGGAGTCGATCCAAAGGCACAAACACAAGAGGCCACAGAGAGACCCTCCAGGTCCTGAGAAGCTGTACCTCCCAGGATGCTGGTGTCATCTTAGATGGGATGAGGACAACTCATGTTCTAGATCTTCTGGTCCCTGTGAGACATATACTATGTCTCATCTCATCTATGCCAATGAGGAACAGGATTTAACTGATGGAAAAAAATCGAATCCAGGAACGCTGAGACAGTGTGCTTCACTGAATCACCCCAAGGCATGGGGACCAAGCAGATGCAGCCCCTCTCAGCCCTTGCTCACCTCTGCTTGTTGCATGAGCAGATTTCAGCCTGGGTTGGAAAGTTTATAATCTGATTCCCAGTACATTTAACAACAATGACAATAACAACCACAATTTATTGAGCAGCTACTAACTGTTAGACACTCTTTTGTGTATTGAGAAAGTCTCTATATCAGGATATTCTGTATATTGGAATATGTCAGTGAACAAAGCAAAGACCTCTGTCTTCAACAACTTGGCATTCTGGCAGGAGAGAGAGACAATAAACAATGAGTAAATTATGGAGTATGTTAGAATAGAATATACTATGTTATATAGAAAAAAGATAAAATATGTAGATCAGGGTAAGGCAGATGGGGAGCATGAGGAGGTTGCAATTTAAAATGCAATGGTTGGGGAGTTGTCACTGAGGACGTGACATTCAAGCAGAGACATGAAGCAGGTGAGGAAGAGGACCATGGAGTCATCCAGGAAAGAACTCTTCAGCCAGGCAAAGGCACTGGGGAGAGAGTGTGTCCAGCAAGACAGTGAGGAGTCTAGTGTGGCTGGAGCAAGTGAGTGAAGGGGGAAGGTAGAGAGTAGGGGGTCGGAGAAGGAGGAGACGAAGTCAGAGACACATTGGGGTGGACTGAGACTGAGAAGGATTGTGGCTTCAACTCTGAGTGCAATGGGGAGTCATCACCTTGATTTTAGTGCAGGAGCAACGTGCTCTAATCATAGGCTGAGTCTGTATGGTCTTCACCTGCTGCCTTCCTCAGGAAGTTCTGGGTGAGTTATTAGGAATAATAGCAATGTTCCCAGTTGACTTACCCAAAGGAAGCTTATTTCTCCATTCTCAGAGTCTTGGATTCATTCAACTCTGGTAATGGCCATGAACTACCCCTGTGTTTAGCCTCCAGAGACAAAAATATCACGATGAGAGGACAAGGATCCTGGGCTAATCCTAGCTCTACCACTAACTCGGGACACACTATTGGCAAGTCAGCCTTTGGGTACTCAGTTTTACCATCTGTAAAGTGGGAATAACCTTTGCCTTTACCTGCCTTACAGTAGTGTTTTTAGGATGATGAAAAGCATGCCTTCTAGTCCTTTCACCTGTCCAAAAGGTCGAGTCACAACTAGCTAGTGACACAAGTTAGGGATGGATACACCTGGTTTAGCAATAGTTTATGTGGAAAAGATCTAGAAGTTCCTTTTGCTCACAAGCTCACTGTGAGACAGTGGTGAGAGAAAACTGCTCTAAAGATAATATTACCCTAGAACAGGCTCCTAGAATCTTTCCAGAACCTAGAATGTCACCTCTAACCCACTATGGCCTGCATTGAATCGACAAGGTCCAGAATATAACAATTTAATTATGGGCTTTGGAAGAGGGGCACTGGCTAACTGCAGCACAGTCAGAGAGGAATGACTAGGATGGCAAATTGACTGCCAACAGCCGGAAGGTGTTTAGCTTGGGAAAGACTGGAGATGGTGGTTGCCTTGAGATGTTTGCAGGGCTGTCAGCAACATAATTACATGGTATTATTTCAAAAGACAGAACCAGGACCAATGAACAGGTATTCAGGGTGGCGAATTTCATATGCTTATCTGTCTAAAATGGGAAGGCCCAACTCATGCCCTTGTCTTTGGATGAGTCTTGGGAGCCCACCCCTCAGCAATCTTGCAGAAGGGTTTTGGGCTTTGGGTGGAAGGTCAAGTCTGATGATCTCTGAGGTTTGTTCTGACTCTGGGAGTCCATGATTTTGGCCTCTATTGCTTACATGTATTCCATTCCAAGCTTTTTCATTTCTGTCTAAGAGGAAGGGTCAGTTTGGTTTTGATTGAATAAAGGTCAGCCTAATCCTACCACTGATGTTCTTGTTCATCCCTATGAAGATAATGATGCTGGTTGCTAGTTCCTCCCAGAGCCACTTTAAATGGGGTCAAAGGCTGCAATCATATGAGAATGGCTACTTTCTCAGGCTTTTGCCTTAAGCCAGCCAGGCTCTGTACTAAGCACTTTATAGGATTATTTGATTTAATCTTCATGACAAACCTGTAAGGTAAGTGCTATTATCATCCCTGTTTAACAAATGCAGAGATACAGAGATCCAATTCACATGACTAGAAAATGGCAGAACCAGGCTTCAAAGTCTGATAGCAAGACCCCTTCTCTGACCCACAGTATTAGGCTGTTTCTATACGCCAGACTACCTTCCTTTATTTTGGATTGGGAGTCAAAATCACTTTTTGCTTGGAAAACCAACCGTGGCACTTGGCAGGAGTGAGTGAGGTAGGGATGGAGAGAGAAGAGAAAGGAAGCATAGGGGTGGAACTCATGCTTTTGGAGTCCAGCATTAGGAGCGCTCGGAATGCTAAGCAATTAGCCAAGCACTGATTCCATTGTGCTATCTAGGGCATGGCTCTGTCTCTGGTAATTTGATGGAAATATATGCAGGGAGCAGTTGTTGCTTCAGAAACACGGAGAATGCTCTGAAAGCAGAGTTGAGGAGAAGAAAAATACCAACTGCATGGGGCAGGCATAGGAGACTGCACCCACAGTGGGAGTATTAATCATGCACAAGTCTCTGCTGCAAAGCAGAGCCCTCTCTTTGCCATGGTCCGTTTGTCCTGGAGGGGGCTTGGTGGACCCTAGGGTAGGCCTTAGCCTCCTTTCCAGAACAGTTCAAGGACATATCCTGTTCAGTCTGTCTATCCAGCCCTCTTAACTGGTTGTTTTATTTTTTTTTCCTTGAAAGAGAATAGTTCCTTTCCAGTTCTAAGATTTGATATTTATGTCTTGAAACTCAGCCCTACATGGCTGATGGTAGGTGATGATTTTCGACAATCCTGGTACCTCTCCATTTCCAACTGCTGTGACACCTGCTGAGTCTCACACCTATAATTGTATCTGGTTAAAATAACAGCTATGCACTTCTGGACAGGAATTCAGTAGTCAACGCAGTCTGTCATCAGGGCATCCCCTGAGAGTGTTGTCAATGGGTAGAAGCCTATTCTTCTCTCTGGACAGCCTTTATCAGTTACTACAGTCATGTCACCATCCTGTCATCACCCTGGAGTCCCACACTGTATTTACCCACCCTGATTATAGGTCAAGGGGTTTTTGTGGAACTCCTTGTCTTAGGCCCTAACCACTGCCAAGGGCAGATATACATTTTGTGAGACCTTACACAGGAGCCCTGTTGGCACAGTTGTTAAGCGCTCAGCTGATAACAGAAAGGTAGGCAGTTCAAACCCACCAGCTACTCCATGGGAGAAAGACATAGCAGTCTGCTTCCATAAAGATTTACAGCCTTGGAAACCCTATGGGGCAGTTCTACCCTCTCCTATAGGTTACTACGAGTCAAAATTCGCTCGACAGCAGTGGGTTTGGGTTTTTCATAAGATTATACAATTTGAGGAGCCCTCTTTAATAAAAAGAGTAAAAATTTTGGATATGAGATGAGACATGGGAACTTAAAAGGGGTCTGTGAGAGTGAGGGGCCCTGAAACTTAAGCTTCGTTACGATCATAGTATGTACGTTTGAGTAAACCAAGAAACTAGGGTTAAGAGTTCTGTGTGCTAGACTGGACGCTGGAACTGCCTGTAGGTTCTTGGGTAAGTCACTTCCTCCCTCTGGCCTTCAGATCCTGGTCTGTGAAATGGACTAGGTTATTCTAGGATCCTTCTAGCTATCACCTTCTGAGTTCAGCAGGATTAATAGCTTCTGGGAAGCGGGTAAAGTAAGTTCAAAGAGTTCAAAGTCAGTGGAGTTCCTGGTCTGATGTTTTCATTTGTGAAATGAGAAGGTTGGACACAATGCCCTCAAAGGATGACTTCCTGTCCTAATATTCTGTGTGAAGCTTTCTATTTCTGCCTTCATCTTCCTCTAGCCAGCTGGGCCAGTGTCTCTGGGCACACGCCTGATCACTAGAAGCTGTGGGTTTAAAAAACAAAGCACCCCCTCTAAACAGCAGGGCAGCTAGGCTAACAGCCATTGCATATTTAGTTTCTCTGGAGCACTTTGTTTTGAGAGAAACCAAAGTGTGCCCCCTAACTTCGATGTCAACATAGCCAACATGCCTGAATTAGACACTGAGGAAACCCACTAACTAAAGGGCTTCAGAGACCAAAGAACTAGGCAGCAGAGGCCGGTTCCAAACCCTCTCCTTAGCCCTGTCCCAGGCAGCAGAGGCTAAATGTTGTAAACAACAGCTAGATCCTAAATATGAAGCTCTGGAGTGGGCTGTCGTGAAACTTATCTTGATTTAGAATGAGAGACACTGACTGTTTTCCTGTCTCTTGATCTAAGGCAAGTCACGAGATTTCACTAGACTCAATTTTTCTCATCTGTAAAATGGGAAGCTTGGCCTTGTATTTTCATGGTACGTTTCAATGGTTCCATCCGGTCTATCAATCCAAGTTCCTGCTGCATCCATTTTATAAAGAGGTTTAAAGCTAGGCTAAAGCTTACATCTCAACCTAAATTAAAGAATGAGGCTCTGCACAGAAATCCTGCTGAAGGGTCCCGTCATCTCCTGGAAAAGACACAGGGCAGGAAAAGGAACCTGGAGACCACTTACAGTGTAGAAGTTGAGAGACAATTGGCTTTCAAATGTGCCCATGCTCCCGTTCTTCACATGAACAGTGGCCACTCTGAAAAGGGGAGAGAATTTTGCATAAGGACTGAAACATGCCTGATTGACAGGGACTGCAAGACACATGTGAGGCAGCCAGCCCTCCACTCCACAGAGCAACTTACCTCTGGTCAAAGGCAGCCTGATTCACCAAGTAGGTAGAGTGGTAGGTACAGGAGAAAGAGTAGTTCACGGGCTGGTTCTTCACGATAACCGTGCTGTCATTGGAAACAATGTGGTTGTAGAAGTGGTAGATGGGGGGCTTGTACTGGAGAAAAGAAGAAGGCAGTTAGGGTAGCCCCGAGTCCCATGAGAAAAATGAAGGTTCTGGGAAGAGTGGATGAAGATGGCTTGGGAGAAAGCCCAATGGGGAGGCATGAATGTCTGCCATTGGCAGTAGCACCCTCTGTCTTGCTATGGGTGAGTTGATAACTTTTGTAGAGTTCTGAGTCTGTTCAACTGAGGTTGTTTAAAATAATGTAAGTTGAATACTGTACACTTGAAAAAATCCATATACCCATTTGGCTTCTGACTAAAAAGAACCAGCTCAAGACTCTCTATTTCCCAGCATTAACTATTAATTCATTTCCCCTGTCCAAGAATCCCAGTGCATGCCTTCACCCACCTCCCAATTCTAGAATGTTACTGTCTGGTTCTTTACTTTTTTCTCTTTCCAACCTTGGGCAGTATTTCTGAGATGCTCTTCTCTGACTTGCTGGATTCTAGAATCACAGAATATTAGAGCTAGTAGGGATCTTGAATGTCCACAAGGGAAGTGGTGTGCCTAAGACTACAAGGTGATGTCTAGTTCATCCTATTAGGATACTCATATCTTAAGCGATTCCCCATTGTGTGGCCTGGCCTTACCTCGGACTGAGTTCCACAGTAGGACTTGTTTTTAGGCGACAGATCTGGGATTACAAATTGGTAGTATCCTCCTTCGTGGACCCCATTGTAACACAGCCCCCCGAGGGCCAGCTGATGCACTTCCCATCCATAGGGACACTCGGGGATTTTGGTGATGATGGTTTTCGGGTAACAAAACACAAGAATGACATCTGGAAAGAGGACACACATGGCTTGAAATCAGATGTGGTATATATTACTCTGCCTGGAGAATGATGGTTTTCAGCCACGCCTGCCCATGCAGAACAGTTGGATGAAAACACTTTCTCCTCTATTCTTCAAGAGCTATGATGGAAGTTTTCTTGAAGCATCAGTCATTGAAGTTCCATTTTCATTATTCCATTTTGCTAGTTCTGTGTAATATCTGCACCGTACTTAAGATGTTGTTAAAATTGGTCTACTTTTAAACTTTAAGCTTATTTGAAGGAATATATCTGTGAAACCTCAGATTGGAAGTATTGGCTATATATATAGAATATATATTTTTTCAAATGCCCATGAAAATTAGCACACAACTTTAAAAAAAGTCCATTTCATGTGTAGCACTGACTTACGACACAGGATTGAAATTCAATAGTCAAATAGAAAAAATGTGGAATGAATGAATATATGTATATATTAAAAACAAAACAAATAAACAAAATCCCACTGCTGTTGAGCTGATTCTGACTCATAACAACCCTATCGGACAGAGTAGAGCTACCCCATAAGGTTTCCAAGGCTGTAAATCTTTACGGAAGCAGACTACCACGTCTTTCTCCTGAGGAGCAGCTGGTGGGTTTGAACTGCTGACCTTTTGGTTAGCAGTCAAGTGCTTTAACCACTGCACCACCACGGTTTATATATATATAATTTTTTTAAAAGTCTAAGTGTATTCAATACAGATTTACAGGTCTTTCTCTCGCGGAGCCATTCGTTGGGTTCGAACCACTAACTTTTCGGTGAACAGCCGAGAATATAACTGTTGCTCCATCAGGGCTCCATATATATAAAATTTTTTAAGTCTAAGTTTATTCAATTCAGTTTTACTTCCTGTGTAAAATGTCTGACCAGCATTGGGGGGTTTCAGTGCTTCTTGGCTACATTAATGCATTTTCATAACAAACTAGCACAGAGTTCGGAGTTTTGTGAAGGGAAGCTGCAGGAAACTTTCCTTTCCAGGAAAAGGGACAAGCACCAGCACATACCTGCTTTATTTGGAGTGCATGATCTTGCAGAGGCTTCCGCAAAGACGGCCAACAGGACAAAAGCCCTCATCACCATTGCTTCTCAGAACCTGGTCTTTGCTGGGTGGTCACACCAAGCTGGCCAGATGTTCACGATCATTCTAGATCAGAAACATGAGTGAGAAGTTAAAATCAAGGGTGAGAACAAAGCAGCACACACAGTTTTGGGGGAAAATTCCAAGGGAAATCAGCAATGCTGTCTGTCTCCCATTCCTAATCATTCCGTCAGTGCCCAGAGGCAAGAACTGGGGCTCATACCACTGGAAGTGTCAATAGCACACGCGATTCCTCACGTTTCTGACTGTGTCATTCTCTTCGAGACTGGACGCTGCCTCCTGGATGCTTCCCAAACCTCCGGCCCCAGTCCTTACTCGACTTTATATAGTACAAGAGTGTAAAATGAACCGGCTGCAGATAAACCACAATGAACACGCGTCATCCACCCTGGAGGGGACAGAAAGGGGGGCTTGCACAATAAACCAATGGGAAGCTTCGTTTCAGCCCCTTGAATCTAATTTCTTTTACTACACAGAATTGGAGAAACTTTTTTTCTTATTAACTGCTTCAATCAGAATTGGAATAATAATTGGAATCTTCTTCCCTTGTACAAAAATAACTCCAATTGGAGGCTAACTATTTTTGCACAGTTCTAGGTACCAAATTTCTCTTTATTCCCTGCTTTCTTGTTTTTAATCGTAGACTACCTAAAATTTGAACTGAAGAAGTCTCTCCCGTTTAGCAGGGCTCCACCTGATACTCAAAACAAACAAAAAATAGGCTATTTGTGTTAATGCAAATATTTGAATGGTTTTCTTTCTTTAACATTTTTAAATAAACTCTAATGTCTAGAACTTTGTCCTAAAATACTACTTTTAATTACAGACCCTCTGTGTGTCTAAAGCTTTATTAGTCTTCCAGAGCAGTGATGTTGAAGGAACTTGGAAAGGCTCTCTTCTAATTCAATCTTTAGCCTCCAAACAAGATCTCTCCGAAAATGGCAGATGCAGGCCTGCTCCTGGGAAAGTTCCAGATATATTACTGGGGAGTTTTTAGCACCCAGAAATTAAAGAATGGGAAATAAGGGTTTATTTTAATTTTTGTGTTTCAGGGAAGAGTTTTCTTTTATCAATCAACTGAGAGCATATTGCATCAAAGTCACTACATTAAGCCACTTGAGAGATAGATGTGAAAAAGTATAGAAAAATACCCCATCCTGCAGGAGTTTATAATGTGACTGAAGAGCTAAAATATCTATACACAATGACTCCGAATATCTGATTACATCGTTCTGCTGCTTAACCATATTTCCTTTGTTTTAAGATACACCCCTCTCCCTCTAAGTGCCCATATTTTAATATTTCAGAAATTGGGATGTGTCTTGTAAGCAATATGCATACATAATATGGTAGGATTTCCCTATTTCCTCAAAACCTATTGTTAAATCGATGGTATGTCTTTCAATGATGCTGTCTAAGAATGGAGAAAATAGCCATCTGGCAAGCCGTTAAAGGTTTCTGTGACTCAGTTTCCTTGTTTGTAAAATGGAGGCAGTAACCCTGGGCTCACCCCACAGGATTGAGAGAGCCAGGATGTGAAAGGGCTTTTGTAGACTGTAAAGTACCAGGTAGACAAGTAGGTTACATGAAAAGACAGCTAACAATTCCCAGTAACATGCATGTGTCCCGTGAGTTGTTTTTCTTTTCCTCAGAAGTGCCACAAAGTATCACACCACAGATTCATGTAACATGAGACATAGCTATATCGTATAACACACGTGCAATATATTTTATGGATAAAGATTGAAGGGAGAGGAAAGACGGAATAGATTATTATCTTTTAAAAACTAGGGTCAAGTTTCGTGTAGCCTCAAAGCGTCACCATGTTCTTACTGGTCTCTATAGTTCCAACAGGCATTACTGCCTGAGCAGGAAATAGACACTAGAATCTCAATGATCTGTGTGAAAGAAAAAGTTTCTCTTCCCTAGGGCCTAGCACTAACTCTCTGTGCTTCTTACTCCTTCCTTTTTCTTAAATACTTATTGAGCACCGATGGTATGCCAGGCACTGGACTAGGCCCTGGGAAGAGGACACGGGCAAGTCAGATGCTGTTTCTGTCTCTGAGGGACTAGGAAGAGGGTTGCTAGAGTGACAGAAGTCTGTACTGGGAGTGCTGGGCAGACAGGAAGGGGAAAGGGAGGATCGAGATGCTAGACAGAGGAAGTAACAACTGGGCCAAGCCAAATCAGAGGCCCAAAATGGCCTAGTTGCATAAGGAATGGCCCCTCTGATTTGGTATGGATGATTATACATCACTGACAATTTAATCTTGTTCTTCTAAGTGTGTTGGGATAGCTTCCATTTTAAGAGAATCCTTTTCACATATCTTCAAGTATGTCCTTCTTTTCAGCCAAGATTGGCCCAGGCAGGTTACCAGTATCATCTTGTCTCTGATCTGGAAGGGCAGGATTCACTCAGGCAAAGGGTTGCAGTGGACATAAATGCCTTTCTAGTCTTTCAGTGGAAATGTCTGATAAACACAGGGGAGTTGCTGTGAGGCAGTATAGCATAAGGCTGAACAGTGAGGCTCTGCAATCTGCCTGGGCTCAAAAGCCGACTTCTACCAAAAGGTTGGTGGTTCGAACCCACCCACTGCCTCCGCAAGAGGAAGACCTAGTGATCTGCTCCAGTAAAGATGACAGCCTAGAAAACCCTTTGGAACAGTTCTATTCTGTCACATGGAGTCACCATGAGTTGGAATCACACAACACCCAACAACAACAACAACTACTCATTAGCTGGGTGTTCTTGGGCAAGTTACTTAGCTCCTGTTGGCCTTAATTTCCTTAGGTCCTGAATGGATATGATAGTATCTACAACATAATGTTACTCAGAGTATTAAATGAACTATCTGTCTGTTAGCATTAAAAAAAAAGAAAAAAAAAAAAAAGCCAAAAACCAGTTGTTGTGCAGTTGATTCCTACTCATGGTGACCCTGTATGTGTTAGAATAAAACTGTGCCTTATAGGGTTTTCAATGGTTGAATTTTGGGGAAGTACATGGCTTATTTTCCTCTATAAGGACAGAGCATTGGGAAAGCTATTCGTTTTTCTGCTTGGTTCTGCTTTGGAAACCCACAAAGGGGAATCTATTAGGAGTGTGTCACCACTAGCTAGTCCACATGACCATTGGCACTGCTGGATTATGGCATACGCCCTTCAGAGCACAGGTTCTGGATGTAGAGATGGTGGCTTTGTCGCATTTTCAATTGTGTGACCTTGGGCAAGTATCTTTATCTTTCCAAGACTCAGTTTATCGATTTGGCCTCCAATTTCCAGTGGCTGTTGCAGGGACCTACTGAAATAATGCAGGTGAATTGTGCACAGGCACAGTGCCCGGCCCCCATTGAGCTCTCAACAAAGGCTCACTGCCAGGGTATTTATTCGTCTGAGGTTGGTATCCTCAGGCTAGAAGGACATGTCAGTGGTGTTCCCGTATGAACTCCGGGAGTTTTCTAATGGTACCATTTCTCTTTTTAGGAACCCACCTTAACAAAAGCGCAGGTGCTTTTGATTTCTCGAGAAGCCTGATAACGATAAGATCCTGGGATGGAGAAAGAGATCTCTCCTACAGTTTCCTCGGAGCGGGGACCCAGCTAACAATCAGGTACACGATACTCCTTTCAAAGACAAGTGGAATGAAGTCGAGGAGGCAAATTTAACTTTTGTGGCAGGCTGGTCTCTAGATGTTGAATTTGCATAAGAAATAGAACTGGATGAAATGTACTTGGACCAAACAGGATTTGATACTTGCTCTGATAAAAGGCAGGAGGCTCCTATTTTCCCTGGGAATTACCCACCATTCCCCTACCCCACCCCAGCACCTCTCTGCTTTCCAGCACTCCCCTCCCTCCCTGAGATGAAGATGGGATGGCAGGGGCACCACTGGGAGATAGACTCAAAAAGGCAGTCTCCCCCAGAGGCCCATGGCAATTTCTCCAAAAACTCACAAAGACAACTGATGGGGAGATCTTAGCAATCTCAGGATCTTGGAAGAGCCCAAAAGAGTGAACAAGGGTTTTATGGCAGATGCATCTGAAAGGTGAGCTTGTCTCTCCTGCATCTGTCTTTTGCAAATTGCCAGGCAATAGAAGGTACCTGTTCTATTTGAAGGCCCGGAATGTTTGTGAAAATGAGTCCAAACACAAAAATGTTGGCAGTTGCAAAATTTCAGTCAACATTTTCATTCATAGCTCAGAAATCAAATAGGCCATAAATCATGGTGATAAGTAACACCAATAAATTCTTACTGCGGGAACAGATGGCGCTTTTAAAATGAAGCTAGTAAGCGTGCATTAAAGTTTAAAGGGCTGCTTTATTAAGTCATTTTTTAAACTGCACAGTTTTGAGTTCATTAAACTTTGGATTTGTTAAATGAACTCCATTGTTGCCTTTAAGCCCTGAATCAAGCCTTCTTCTCCTTTGTGAGAGACTCTGCCAATTTGCAAATGAGTGGGTGTTCCCAGAGAGGCTTCCATAGCTCAGACCAACCTCATAGCACTCCCTAGGAATTAAAAGAGCTTGGTGTTCTTCTCTTGGAAAACAGACTCCATAAAGGAGAATTGAGAAATGAGAAAAGATACTCTGCTGATAGTACACCAGAAATTCAGAGCAAGAGGCCCTGCTTCCCCTGCGTCTCACTGGACTCTGCAGCCGGCAGTATCTGCCCCAGGCGGATACATAGGACCCTTGGAGTTTTACCTGGATAATCTGTAAGCATTGGATAACACCACGCCCTCTCTCTCACAAGAGTAGAACCAGCAGTCATGTTTCTTCTTGCCTTGTCAACCCCTCTCTTGCCTTCCCCCCACCTCCCACCCTCACCATTAGCAATCGTAAGACTGGAGAATAAAAAATAGCTCCCCTTTCAGATCAAGATCTGGAATCTCATTGCTAGTCTAAAATATTAAGGCAAATAATTTATTCTGTTCTTGAAATTTTCATGAGAATCATTTGCTTATTCTTTTATTCATTTACCCATTTCTTTATTCACCAAATATTTATTGTCTGTTATGTGCCAGGCACTGTTTTAGGTGCAGAGTGAA